GACCCCTAGCCCGGCCCGGGCGCTGAGCCGTGGCTTCCCCTTTCTCCTCGCCTGCTGCTCCATCCCGGAGCCCGGAGCCAGCTGGCATCACAGGGAGAGCTTGCAGCCTAAGCATCCCCTAGCCTCGAGCCAGGCCTCGGTCTCTCCTCCGCACCCCCCACTCGTTACAGACCCCCAATTCTTTTTGCTTTTGTGTATTTCGCAAACCGCTTTCCTAGACCCACATCTTATTGCTGCAATTCTAAACCCTCCCAGAAAAGGGATTTCTGTTGTCAGCACACCTCTTCCTTGTCCCTAATCCAGTGTTTTGAAGGTCTGTGACATGGGTCAGTTTGAGAACTGATGTAAACACATAACTAAAGCTGCAGGTAGGCGGCTGCTCTGGTTCCAGGTGGGAAAGACTCCAGGTTTCCAGAGGTGGTTCTTGCCCCATGATTTCCTCATTTGGGAAGATTGTTGGCTTAGCTGGAAAAGGCTGAGAAATTCCAGTCTGGCTTCTAAGGAGCTAAAAGTAGACTTTTGAAATGCTTGTGTTCTAGGACATCTCCATAACCTGGATTCACTTGTTTGTGAACCAGTTAGAAGAACTGTGCCTGGTAGGGACACCACTTAACTTCATTCGCCATCAGATATTTAGCACTGACTATGTGGCAGACCCAAGCAGATGTGGGATGTGGGTTCCCATGCCTGCTTTGCCCTTGTGACCTTGTCCACATTGCCTGCCTGGTCTGCATTTTGATTCCCATCAGTCGAATGAGTCAGTTGCCCTTAGATGGTCTCTGAGACCTGACATTCTGTAATTCTAGGCATTAGGTCATGCTCTTTGATTATGAATAGGAAACTTCTTATTACATGAGTTAAACTCCTTTTCAATTGATTTAGCTGAACGCATTGTTGACTTTAGTACAGTATTGAAATAGATTATTTCACTATTTTGTCTTTTTATTGAACCAGAGTGATTTATGCCTTAGTTTGGTTTAAAGCATGTTTATAAAAAGTAACAATGCCTTGTATTATTCCTATTTAGAGTGATTTATTTTGCTTTGGTTTTATGTGTCTGTCAAGAAACTGTTGTGTATTGATTGGGGTGCCAAGCTCCACCAGAATTGGTTTAAAACTCTCAAGGGGATGCAAGAGCGTATAAGATTTTAGCGTTCGGAGTGGCCCTGGGCTTTTACAGGGGAAGGACCTGGCTCTGTGAAGTTGGGGGACTGGTCCCTGGAAGGGCCAGACCAAGGACCCAGTCTCTTGACTCCCGGCTTGGGCTCTTCCTTTCTTATCACGCTGCTGTGAGAGGTTAGAGAGCTGTACCCCTGAAAACTGGAGCACTGGGCTCCCTTTGCCCACCCATTGGCTATGGCTGCCTCTCTAGTGCTGGGCAGTGCCCTCCCCTTCTCTGACCACTCTTGGCAGCCATTTGAAGCCTAACTGAGGTTTCAGATAGGTTTGTTTTCTTGCTTCAGTACCTAAGTGGTCAACACAGTGGATGAGAAGGAGCTAAAAGGAGAAAACCAAGTTAGACAACGATAAGGCTAAGCATCATATCCTTTCAGCTTAACAGTTAGTTCTGCATGGCTGAAGTCTCTGCTCTGTGCAGTTGAAGTGAGTATGTTTCTGGCCCCCCAACTCCACTCCCTCCGACTAGAGCTGGGGGTGGGGTGCGCATGTGGTTTGGAGGAGAATGCCTTTGAAGCCCAAGCCCACCATGGCCCCAGCTTTTAGGAGAAGCTGCACAGCGCTTCCTGAGCCGAGAGCCATGAAGCAAATGCTTGGCTAGCCAGCATCGAGGCTGTGATTAGATGTCCACCCTTGGAAAGACCGCAAGTAAAGTTACTAAATGAAAGGGTTACGTCCTGTAACCATTTTAGCATTCTAGGTCATTTATGAAACCCAGCGACATGTTTTTAGTATTGTGGGAAGAACCACTGTGCGTTGTGGATTGGGCTTTTTCTCGGCAGGAACTGAGATCACAGATGTGTGTCCGATAACTCAAGAGCTGGCACGTCACAGGCTGCAGACATGTTTGGGTCACAGAGCTCCTGCATCCCGACCACTCTGCTCAATAAGGCTTAGTCAGAGCTGGGTAACCTGAGCCGCCTGCAGCCTTCATAGTAGACAGAATCTTCCGATTTTTTTTTTTTTAATGGCTGGAGCAGAGCGAATAAACCTGTCCTCTAATTCTTGCCCATAATAACCACAGCGAGAGATTGCAAGTATGTTCTGATTCTAGGGTGGCTCCTTGGTCCCAGGACTGCTCATTCGATGGGAGTGATGGGAGCGAGAGATAGAGGGGTCCAGGGAGAGAGCCTGAGCCTTGGAGTCCACAGACGCTGGCCTGAGCGCCAGCCCTGCCCTTGGGAGCCGCAGGCCCGGTGACCAGTCCTCCCCTCTCTGGCCGCAGTGACTGCCTCTGTAAAGTGAGTAGGTTGCCAGGTGAAAGTCACTTTCAGCTCAGGTGCCAAGTCCCATCACTGGCTCTGGTTTTTCTGGGATCTGCTGTGAGGCTGATGTAGCGGAGTCAGGGAGCAGCACCTTGATGGACTGGCAGGGCAGCTTTGGTTGGTAAGCACTGGACATCTTCGTCTCTCCTCGTGTAGGTTTTGCCCTTGTTATTGACACCAGGGAATCCCACTCGAGCTTACAGAGCTAATTGGACTTACTGCTGGCGTCTGCAATTTCTACAGAGGCCTAAAAAATGCTGAAAGTTTTTAAAATGCACAAAATCCTTTAGAAAAGGTTGGAAGTGGGCAGTTGACAGGGGCAGCTGGAGAATGAATAGACGCCCCTCGGCAGTAACAAGAGGCGGGAGGCAGTAGAGGGCCCCACCTGCTCTGTGTCCCCCGGCAGCAAAGAGCCCTTTCTTTTTTCTTCTTTTTTGCAATGATCAGGCGCTTAGCTTATGGGAGGAAAAAATAATGTTTAAGAGACAGGTGTGAGTTTAGTAGCCATCATTTGCCTTAAAATCTTCTTTGCCCTGAAGAAACTACTAGCAACACCCCCCCAACTCATCACAAGCAGCCCAAGTGGACGTCGTTGCGGATACTGCGGCATTTGGTGCTGTAGAAGAAAGGCATCCAGCTGGAGGAAGGTTTGACCCAGAACTGATTCCTAGTTATATATAGTAATCCATTTCATACAAGAGCATGTGGATAGGATTACGCTGGAGGGGGGAGGGGGAGCTCTATAGAAATACTGCTCTATAGAAATGATCATTTTGCCTTTTTTCATAAGTGAATTAATACATTGAATCAGAAGTTTTTCTTCCTGTTTCTAACATTACAAATAGCGAATTCACCACTGCTTGGACAGGGTATGTGATTTCTTCTTCTGCCATGTTGTAATATTAAGAGCAAGATTTAAAAATTGTGTGTGTGTTTTAGATGAAACCATTAAGATTTGGTGGCCCGAGCTGCCTTTCCTAATTGCCTCCAAATGTTGGCCCATTGTAGATGTACCAGAGTCACCAGGAGTATATCAAAGCCTCCCCCCAAAAACGGGGGTGGGGGGAGGGATAGGCATATGAGAGCAAAGAGAGGCGCTTTCCAGCCAGGGTGAACATGTGGGGAAGGTGCCTGCTTTTGGTATGGAGGCCTCTGGCCTGCAGCCCTGCTGCTGGGCCCCTTCCTGCCATGGCGGGAACCCTCTGGTGGCTGGTCCCTGTGTACATCTGGCCCAGAGGCTGCATAGAGCACATTCAGATGCTGGCTGCTTAAATGACTTAAGTGCATGTCGAGAGTGAATGGTCCCCAATCACTCCAGTTGGCCCACTCCAGACCTTCTACAGTGCGGGGCCTGCCCCAACCCGGGGAGCAGGCCCCGCATTGTGCCTCGCTCCCCAGTGTCCCCACACCTGCTTCCTGCTTCACCAAGGGGTCAGTGCCCTTCTGGTTCTTTTCTCCATGACCACCCCCCCCAAAGAGATGCTAGTCATCTGTGAGTGCCCATGAGGGGGAAGCAGCTTTCCCCTACCTCTGTGCACCCTACACTCGGCTGTCTGTTTAGTTCCTGAAGGTCAAGGACTCTCTGCTCTTTGAGTGTGAAGCAACCATCTGTCCAACACAACTTTCCGTGATGATAGAAATTTCCAGGTTTGTTTTGTCCAATTCCGTAGCCCATGGCCATACAGAGCCAATGACACTCAAATGTAACTAGGAAGAGAATTTTTATTTTTATTTCACTTTAATATAAGTGTAAATAGCCACTTGTGGTTGGGACTGTCATACTGGGCTCCGCAGCTGAGTACAGCCTGGCTCAGTCACTTTTCTGGAAGGGCAGGCAGTAGACATCTCTGTTACTCAGCTTCAGGCGAGAAAGGAAGATGCTTAGAAAGAAGGTGGTGGTTTTGTTGTTCCAGTGAATATGTCCCAGAAAGAGGGGAGATCCCAAAGCAGTGGGTTTTGATACAGGAGACCAGACAGAAGAAAATATGTGAGATGAACAAAACAAAACAAAAAAAGAATGCTGCCTGGCCAGCATGGCTCAGTGGTTGAGCGTCAATCTATAAACCAGGAGGTCATGATTCGATTCCTGGTCAGGGCACATGCCCAGGTTGCCGGCTCGATCCTCAGTGTGGGGCGTGCAGGAGGCAGTCGATCAGTTATTCCCTCTCATCACTGATGTCCCTTTCTCTCTCCCTCTCCCTTCCTCTCTAAAATATATTTTTAAAAATACCAGCTATTTAGGAAACAACAGAGGTGATGAAATTCTCCAAAGGCTGAGAAGAGGTCTGGAGGGAAATCCCAGCACCTAGAAATTGTCTGGTGCTTATGACACAGAATTAAAACTTTCTCTTTTCTTTGTTTCCTTATTTCCTTTCTTTCTTTCTAACAACTTTATTGAGGAGGGTGCACTAAACTACATATTTAAAGTGTGCAATTTGGTGAGTTTTGACACATCAACACCCAGAAACCATCCACACAATCAAGATCATGCCCTGGACAGTTTCGTTCAGTGGTTAGATTGTCGACCTACGGCCCAAAGGGTTTCGGGTTCGATTACCAGTCAAGGTCACGTACCTGGGTTGCAGGTTCCCCAGTCCTGGTAGGGGCGCATTCAAGAGGCAACCAGTCAATGTGTCTCTTTCACGTTGATATTTATCTCTCCCCCTCCTCCCTCCCTTTCACTCTCTCTATAAATCAATGGAAAAAAATATCCTTGGGTGAGGATTAAAAACAAAAAAAAGATAATGATCATCATCATCCCCAAAGCTTCCTCACATGCCCGTCAGGAATCTCTCTCCCTGCTTCTCCTGGCCCCTGGTAGCATCAATCTGCTTTCTGTCACTGTAGATTAATTTGCATTTTTAGACCTTTATGTGAATGGAGTGTATATACTTTTGGGAGGAGGGGGAAGGGAGCCTGGCTTCTTTCAATCAGAAGAATGATTTTGAGATTCATCCAGATAGTTGCTAGTGTTCGCCTCTTATTCATTCCTTTCATGCTGAGGGGAGTCCCGTTGTGTGGGTGCAGATCCATTCTCCTGTCGAGGGAGTAGCAGCATCACTGCTCCCTAACCTGCCTTTGTCAGTTCCATGCCTTCGGCACTTCTCAGTTGGTGGCCTGCGCGGGTCCAGCGCGTCCTAAGAAAGCATCCCCATTGCCAAGGAAGATAAGTCTCATCCCAAGGAAATGAAATATTTGCCGACATGGAGGGTCCACATAGTCTTTCATCAGTGACTGTTGTAGGCCACCCCTTTTGGGCAAGAGATTTGGGAAATGCCAAGTTCAGTGGGACAGGGGAGACGGGGTTAGGAAGTTTAGATTCTGATTATCTCATGTTTTCCATTCACGCTGAGTGCCATTCCTTCTACTCTGCTTCAGCTCGGATTCCTGTTCCTTTGGATTCCTTACCCACACCGGCCTTCTTACCACTTCTCTCTTCCAGGAAACAAATACCCAGACCAGGGCAAAAGCCCCCAGGTGCTTGTGCTTGTGGCTGTTGGCCTGTCTCAAGTTTACAGTGTTCAGGTCTGGACAAGAGCCTTTGTCTACAGAATGGGGAGCTATGAGCATCCTTAGCATGTCTCCTGCTGAAGTGCACAAGAGCAAGGTTAAGAAGCCAGTGTAAACTAGTAAGATTGCTTTGGAGAATGTTTACTTGAGAATAATTTCTCCCAGGGAATTTTTTTCCAGGATGGGACATTTAGAGTTTTAGTTTTATCTTCTTTTTTCTTATTTCCCCAGGTACCAAACATTATCTATCTATCTATCTATCTATCTATCTATCATCTATCTATCTATATATATATATATTTACTATATAAAGCATATGTTAGTATTTAATACATAACATATAAACAAATATACACTCATATGTATTTTTCCTGTCTTACCAGTTGGGTTTTTTTGTTGTTGTTTTTTGTTTGTTTGTTTTGTTTTGTTTTGTTTTGTTAATTCTCACCCAAGGATATTTTTTTCCATTGATTTTTAGAGAAAGTGGAAGGGGGGAAAGAGAAACATTGATGTGAGAGAGACACATCGATTAGTTGCCTCCTGCACGCACCCTGACCTGGGTTGGATTGAACCCACAACCCAGGTACGTGCCCTTGACTGGGAATCGAACCAGAGACTCTTTGGTGCTCTAACCACTTAGCCACACTCACCGGGGCTGTCTTACCAATTCTTGAAAATTAATGTGAATTAAACCAGTGCCATTTGTAGGGATAATTTGTAGGCAGATGCTGACCCAGCAGCCCCTTTAACATAAACGTGAGAAACCTTTGCTTTTTTTATGAAGTCAACCTGGTTCATGGATTTCTGCGCAGCGGCTGGTCTCTCAACATGTGTCTAATACTTGGATACAGAAATGCCCTTATTGCCCTCTCCCTGGTGTCACTCAGCAGGTCGGGGGCAGCTCTTGTAGGTCCAGGCCCCCCAAGCTCGTGTCCTACTCTACTCACCTGCATTCTAGGTCTAAGTGGTGACACAGCTGTGAGAAATGGAGAAAGGAAGCTATAAAAGAACATCCGTGGTTTGAGATCTTAGGAGTTCAGTGCCCCCTGTGAGCCCTCAGTAAATATTTGATCATGTCAGGAAGTCCCTGTGAGTACCAGGAATCAGCCATCAGGAGAAGGGCGTCTCCTCCAAGCACAGAAGCCTGCACCCAGCATCCCCAGTGTTTGCCACTTTGCCTGCCCTAACATAAAAGACCAAAACAAGCATTTTTCTTCTGGAAATTCACTCTATGCCCTCATCCCAGGAAGGAATTAAATGATCAATAATGCGAAAGAACAAGATCTGTGATTCCTGTTAGGTTCATTTCTAAGCAGCCAGAGTTGAGTTATTTCCTATGTGTGACCCAGCTTAAAGGACATCTAAGAGGGAAGAATTAAATTTAATATGTTAATTTACTTTGCTGTTAATCTTGAGTTATGAAAGTTATCAAAACTCCAGTGATGACATTCTGCTTACCTAGTCATCTAGAAGAATTAAATTTAATATGTTAATTTACTTTGCTATTAAAATAATCTTGAGTTATGAAAATTACTAAAACTCCAGTGATGACATTCTGCTTACCTAGTCATCTCTTGTATTCTGGGAATTGGGAATACCGGCTTCTGTTGTCTTAATTTTATATTTGACACGAAAAGTCAGCTTCTTAACTTTGTTTTTATGTTTAAAATGGGAAGAATGGTCTCATTCCATGGCATGTGGAGAAAAGCTTCCTTTGATTCCTAGATTTTGGAAGAGCCCACACTCAGGTTATTTCAGATTATTTTGGTGAAATTCACCAAAAAGCAAATTTTGAAAACCAAAGTTGAATTTAATTTTAAAACAGAACACTTTGTTAATTGGAGAGAGGGGGAAATATACCTTGGAAACAAATCTAAAAAGAGATTCCTGTGGATATTTGTCTTTAGAAGTGGGAATTGGGTGTTTCATATCTAGACTAGAGGCCCAGTGCACGAAAATTCGTGCACTCGGGAGTCCCTCAGCCCAGCCTGCACCCTCTCGCAGTCCGGGACCCCTCAGGGGGCTGTCCACCTGCCAGCTTAGGCCTGCTCCCCGGGGAATGAGCTGGTAGTCAGACATCCCTCTGGCAGCCTGGGAACCCTTGGGGGATGTCCGACTAACGGCTTAGGCCCACTCTAGGGAGTGGGCCTAAGCTGTGGTCGGATATCCTTAGCGTTGCCGAGGAGGTGGGAGAGGCTCCCACCACCCCGCTGCGTTCGCAGCCTTCAGCCCGGCTTGTGGCTGAGTGGAACTCCCCCTGTGGAAGTGCACTGACCACCCTGGGGCAGCTCCTGCATTGAACATCTGCCCCCTGGTGGTCATTGCACTTCATAGCGACTGGTCATTCCGGTTGTTCTGTATTAGGGTCAGTTTGCATATTACCCTTTTATTATATAGGATGTTAAGGATAAGCCATGTTGGTGGGTTTCCAATTGTATAATTACTGTCATTTCTTTCTTTGGATACTGAAAGGATAGCTATAAGAGTTTCCTTAAACATCCATGGGGTTTCATGTGCTACATGACATTCTAATTAGACTTGGTTAGATAGATGATAATTCCAAATCCATAGTATGTGTAATTAAGACGTGTAAACAGTGTTCACTTTGCTCTATTCATGCCTCTGGAGGACTGACGTACTACGTCTCATTTTATAATCCAGTAGGCACCATGTAGACCCACTCAACCCAAATGCTGAGAGTTAAGTTTTTATTCTTCTCAGCTCCATTCATATTTTGTTGTAGTCAGATTCTCCTTGAACGTTTTTTAGTTTTCTTACAGAAGACTTTCTTTGTTGTCTTTTAGTCTCCACTCTACCCTGTCCCCCACTGCTGAGAATTCTTGATTCTTTTTAGTCTAAAGTAAATGATCTGTAAATAAGAGTATTTTGATCTTTGAAAAATCTATTGACTTTTTTCTGACTTTAACCAAGTTTTTTAAAGTTCCCTGCTGACACCTCTCCCCACCTGCACAGCTACTCTTCCTTGTGTTGGAAGAGAACTTCAATTTACAACTTCTTTTCCTCATTTATTTATTTAACTACCAACACAAAGCTCCTGCTTTATTCCCAGCTCCATCAACTATTCTTGTCAAGATAATTTTCAGTTCATGCAAAATCTAGCCCCGAATTCATGCACCGGGTCTCTAGTTTTCTCATAAAAAGCAAAGATTAAGTATTTGTTTAGTCTTGGCCAGGCACTGTTCCTTCACATTAGTTATTCCTTATACTATTTGGTGCAGATTGCATTGCATATTCTATTCCAGGGAAGTGACTAGCTTGTAATTTTGTTAACTAAAACTACCTTAATGAAATAATTTTTTCAAGATGGCAAGAAAGAGGAGGATTTCTTTTAAGCTATAGAGCACCATATTGTGTTTGTAACATATTCTTAGAACTCGGAGCCCCTGAGGGTCCCTCCTCATCGGCTCTGTCTGGTACATTGCTGACCTCTGGGACCAAAGGACCAGCCCACTGGACAGCAGTGGTTCTCACCCTACTTGGCACCCTGGGAGCGGGCAGGGCGGGAAAGGCTTGCCCAGGCTGGGGTCCTCTTGAGTCTGCTGGTAGTCCCTGTGGGTTTCTTGGGGCTTTTTGTTCATCTGGGGAGTTGCTTCCAGTGAGCACTCACACCCTCTGTCAGCTGGTAGTGCCTAAAGCAGTGATTCTCAACCTTCTGGCCCTTTAAATACAGTTCCTCATGTTGTGACCCAACCATAAAATTATTTTCGTTGCTACTTCATAACTGTAATGTTGCTACTGTTATGAATCATAATATAAATATCTGATATGCAGGATGGTCTTAGGCGACCCCTGTGAAAGGGTCGTTTGACCACCAAAGGGGTTGCGACCCACAAGTTGAGAACCGCTGGCCTAAAGGATGGAAAGGATGTCAGTTACCAAGGACTGAGCATTTCCCACCCTGTGGGCCTGTCTCTTCAGCACCAGGATTCTACTCGGCCAAAGAATCACAAATGTTCTGTGCATCAACCCACCCACAGTGGGTTCCATCCCTAATGTTTCTTTGGCCTTTGGCCTTGAGGCCGTCAGATACACAGTTTACATAGATGTTTCCTCTCTAGGTTAATGTCTTTATATTTCCTGATGCTGAAAGGCCTTAAAATATCATAGAGCAGTGGTTCTCAACCTGTGGGTCGCGACCCCTTTGGGGGTCGAACGACCCTTTCACAGGGGTTGCCTAAGACCATCGGAAAACACATATATTATTACATATTGTTTTTGTGATTAATCACTATGCTTTAATTATGTTCAATTTGTAACAATGAAAATATATCCTGCATATCAGATATTTACATTACGATTCATAACAGTAGCAAAATTACAGTTATGAAGTAGCAACGAAAATAATTTTATGGTTGGGGGTCACCACAACATGAGGAACTGTATTAAAGGGTCGCGGCATTAGGAAGGTTGAGAACCACTGTCATAGAGGATTTCTGCATGTGACCTGGTTTGGGGCCAACTTCATGAAGACTATATAGGCATGCGGGTTGTTTTATGGTATTCAAGGCTTTTTGGCAATGTCCCTATGTTGGATTTTTTTGAAAAATATATTTTATTGATTTTCCACAGAGAGGAAGGGAGAGGGATAGACAGCCAGAAATATCGATCAGCCGCCTCCTGCACACCCCCTACTGGGGATGTGCCCACAACCAAGGTATATGCCCTTGACTGGAATTGAACCTGGGACCCCCTAGTCCACAGGCTGACCCTCTATCCACTGAGCCAAACCGGTTAGGGATATGTTGGATTTTAATGATCACCTATCAGGATAGATTTAGGAAAAGTCTGTCTGACCTTAAGAATCTGGGGGTGGGTTTTCTTACATTGTCTTTAGTTTGAAAATCTTTTTAGCTGACTCCCAAATACCAATCACAGGTAATATGATGAAATATAGTTGGGGAAAATTCTAGTGAAATGGCACTAGCACCAAAGAAACCTTTTCTTCATATAAAAACCTCAGTGGTATAGCTCAGAGGTAGGATAGTGATCAGTTTCAAGAAAGAATTTTCCTTCTGCCAGCCCCAGCTGCCCCGTCAAACAGCTCTTCACTGGCTCAAGATGAGTTTTCACCTCATCCCCTGTCTAGCTCTAAGCATTTCTCATCAAAAGCAGGGACCCCTTCCTGAGGACCAGAGAACTGGTGCTTTCTAAACATGCAAAATCCTTATTGAAAAAAAAAAAAAAAGTAGCCCTAACCGGTTTGGCTCAGTGGATAGAGCATCGGGCTGCGGACTGAAAGGTCCCAGGTTCGATTCCGGTCAAGGGCATATGTTTGTGGGCACATCCCCAGTAGGGGGTGTGCAGGTGGCAGCTGATCGATGTTTCTCTCTCATTGATGTTTCTAACTCTCTATCCCTCTCCCTTCCTCTCTGTAAAAAAATCAATAAAATATATTAAAAATAAATGAATATGTAAGTGATTTAGGATGATTCTCAAGTTAATCTAGAAGAATAAACCAAGAAAATGTTGAAAAGGAGATTTAAGAGGGTGAATATATATCAGTTGTTAACAGATGCTGTAACTCAGAAATAGACTGAAATATATATTAGAATTTAGCTTACAATAAAGGTGGCATTTCAAAGCAATGAAGAAAGGATGACTTATTAAATAAGTAAATGGTACAGAAGTATTTGCAGCATATAAGACCAACAAATTTGTGAATAGGTATAATAAAGGTCCTTATAAGTCATTAAGGGAAATATGAACATATGGTAAGAAATTGGACAAATAGCCTAATGAGCTGTCCACAAAGGAAGTATACATCTGGTTCTCAAATAATGTCCTTTTTTTTCAAAGTTATTTTCTTATAACATTGATGAAATGCCTTAGGACTTAACTCTTTTTTTTTAGATTCTTTATTGTTTAAAGTATTACATATGTCTCCTTTTCCCCCCATTGACCTCTCCCCGGCCACCCCCATCCCTCAGCACATGTCCTCACTCCCCTAGTGTCCATTCATTGGTTATGCTTATATGCATGCATACAAGTCCTTTGGTTGATCTCTTACCTCCCCTCTCCCACCCTCCCCTGCCTTCCCTCTGAAGTTTGATGGTATCTTTAATGCTTCTCTGTCTCTGGATCTATTTTTGTTCATCAGTTTATGTTGTTCATTATATTCCACAAATGAGTGACATCATGTGATATTTATCTTTCTCCAACTGGCTTAACTCTTATTTATATCAATTAGCCTATGGTAAATGGCTTCATTCTATGTTATTTCACTTAAAGTCGCAGAACCTATTTAACGATGTTATGTGAGAACTTATTGTATGTGACCAATAATTTTATGAAAAAAATGTTCAATATTAAGAGTAAGCCATCCTTGCCTTAGCCAGTAATCAAGGAACTGAAACTTAAGACAACTATGCTAGGCCATTTTCCCACCTCTCAGATTGGCAGCGATGTTTAAGCTATATGGAGAGAGCTCTGGCTGGGAAAGGGGACCCCCCACCTTGTAGGGCGTGGGAGTTGGGATACCCATCTGAAGAGTCATCAGCAGTGTGCAACCACAGCCTTCGATAGTAGGAAGCCATTGGGCAGATGCACCAGTAGTAACTATAATAATGGACAATTTAAAGAAGAGTAGGCAATGGATTGAGTAAACCAAGCTCCACGCACACATACTCATAGTGGAACACACACCTATAAAACATGGAAGTGGTGGAATGTGTTTCTTGATGTAGCAAGATGCTGTAATGTGAATGAGTGAATAAATAAGGTCACAAAATACTGTGTGCAAAATGATCGCACATCTGCCCTGCACACTCATACACTCACGCACTCACACACACAAACCTGCAAGAATGTCACCCAATTTTAACTGACTCGGGATGCTAGAATTTTTTTAAATTTTAAAATACTCTCCTTTTTATTTAACACTCCCATCTGATTTTTCTATAAAAGCATATGTTGTTTATGCCATTCTTCTAATTTTTTTAAGTAATAGGAATTAAAATTGCTCAATTAAAAAAAATCCTTACCAGTCAATTAAGAGCATTTGCTCATTCTGCATATGTTGGTTATATCCACAATCAATCAAAACTACTTATTTTTACTTTTTGTACAGCTGCTCCACTTTGTGTTTTCCTGGCTGTGGGGCATTTATATTTTCTTCATTGTACTTAAAGTGCATGTGATGTTATTAATACAGTCTTTCTGTCTAAAGTTGATTCCCCCCACCTCCGCCCCCCTTCCTCTGGGATTGCCACCCTCTCAAGAGTCTCTGCAAGAGTAAGCCATCCTTGCCCTAGCCAGTTTGGCTCAGTGGATAGAGCGTTGGCCTGCGAACTGAAAGGTCCCGGGTTCGATTCTGGTCAAGGGCACATGCCCGGGTGGTGGGCTCAATCCCCAGTGGGAGGCTTGCAGGAAGCCAATTCATGATTCTCTCTCATCATGGATGTTTCTATCTCTCTCTCTCCCTCTTCCTTCCTCTCTGAAATCAATAAAGATACATAAAAAAAAAAAAGAGGAAGCCATCCTTCAAACAGGGCCACTGCCTCTCCACCCCCGAGTTTCCAGCACAAAGACCTTTGAGTAGCTGCTGTAGGAAGAAGCATCTCGGGCCTGGTGTGGGGGGGCGAAGGGGAGACGGGTGCAGTTATTATGGTAAGCACAGCCATGGCCACCACAGCTTAATCGACATTTCCAGATACCCCACACCAGAAATCAACGATCAGTTTCGTATTGCCATCTTCTGAGAAACTCTGTCTTAATGCAGCTGATACTTGTTCTCACTACAAATAAAATTTCTCAATAATAGTCCTTTCTTCTACTCAGTAATGTTGAGGAGTTAACAGCTCCCCCTCGAGGCTGTTGTAGGAGTTGTAGCTGGTAGCGTCTGTGGCAGCCAGTGCCCATCCCTCCCCGCTCCAGAGCCTGGCTTCACAAGCCGCTGTCAGTGTCAAGGTAGCTCCTATAACCTTTCAGGAGGGTCTTTTATTTTTCAGAGAGCTTTCCTTTCATTTGGTTTGATAATAATTTTGCTCAGAAACTTAGCACAAGGACCAGGTACATTTGTAGGGCCCAGTGCAAAAATGGAAATGTAGGGCCCCTTGTTAAAAAATGATTAGGCGTTCCAGGCACGCTCTCCCTTCTGGGAGCACACCCGTGCCTTTCCCTTCCCCCTCTTCTTCCTCCACAGGCCTGCATCTCCTAAACTCTAAGGGTCCCATGAGACTTGCAACCTGGGGAGCAGTGGGCAGTGGCAGCTCGTCCTGGGCTCACCCCCTGAACCTGTCCCCAAGTCCCCCTTTTCTCTGACTGTCTGGAGAGCCAAAGCAGCCCTGCCTACTCTTCTCTCCTGTTGCTCCTTCTATCCTCCTTTGTTTCGCTGTCCCCAGCTTTAATAAATGTACTCTCAAAAAAAAATAAAAGTTCCAAAATTAAACCAAGAGTGGGGCCTTCTAAATTCAGGGCCCTGTGTGACTTCCTGGATAGTTGGTTACAGCGCTATTCACTCCTCCTGCCCCTGATGTCACACGTGGTCTGGGTCAAGGTTGCCTGAAGAGGGTGGCAGGTAATGTGACATGAGGGAAGCAGGTTCTATATCGGGGAGCCCTGCATTCTAGCCCTGAGCCTGGTCTTTCACTTTGATCCTTGAAGCCTGCGGCCCTTCTGTGAGGGTCTGCTGTCATCTGACCATCCCACATTTATGACGCCTGCTCTTTCCCTTCCACCTGTAGAAATTCATCGAGTTTGAAGATGCCTTGGAACAAGAGAAGAAAGAGCTACAAATCCAGGTGGAACACTATGAGTTTCAGACCCGTCAGCTGGAACTGAAGGCCAAAAACTATGCAGATCAGAGTAAGTAGCAGCCTGAGCTTGAAATTGCATTGTTTCCAGACCTACTCTAGCTGAGCAGGATGTTGAGAGCCTTTGATTAAAAAGAGAGAGACAGAGAGAGAGAGAACCCATTGGTAGCCTTATTTTATTTTCACTGTGATCCCCTCAACCATTATACTGCTATGTATTTCTGTAATCAGACTCTAATTCTTTGTGGAAATAACATAAATAATTAAGGCCCCTTTGATGACATAGCACTTTTGCATATACTGCAGTCTGACCCTAAATTAACACCCTGTGATCCTACCTGCCCTGTGAATCCTCGATTCTATGTGTGCTGCAGTCTGTAGGCACTTTAAGCTCTTCCAAGGATAACTAAGCTGTTACTCCACTTTGTGCAAATACCCCACTGCTCCTCCAAGTGTGGTTCCCTGGCCAGCAGTGCCAGCATCACCTGGAATATTAGGAGTGCAGACTCCGAGGCCCCACCTGTCAGGTGAGGAATGGCCTCGACACTACAGCCTTGCCTGCACACCACTGAGGAAAGATTGCTGCTTTGTGACCTGAAAGTTGGGCCTGATGATGCAGCCCCTGTCATGACAGTTGCTGGGCCGGGTGTGCAGCTGACCGAGGTGTCTGTAGGAGCACCCTGCTCCTTGCAGGGAGAGGCAGAGAAAGGGTTTGTGACTGTTTTGTGGTAAGAACTATTCCTTTAGTTTTCGGAAGTCTTTGTTTAAACTGTACTGTGAAAGTTAAAATGATTGGTGTGATTTCAGTTTCCTGTAGTTAGAGGTTTTCATTATTGAGACCTACTTTGCTGTTTTACCTAGTTCCCTTGGGTGGCAGGAGCTTTCATTTCTCTGAAAATTTCAGATAAAATCGGGAAGAAAAATGGTTGGGTGTGTTGGGTCTATCCCTATCCCAAACCAAGACTTGAAGGCCAGTACGTCATGGTGTGTTGGTGAGTTCTGGACAACCAGCAGGCTGTGGCTACATATATGTGCAAGCATGCTTATATTTGCAAACTGGAAGCCAACCAGAAGGCCCAGTTTAGGTATGCATAGGTAAGCCTTTCTATAGTTACACAGACTCCTTAACAGTCCCTTTACTTAGAATACTTTTCATATGTGAAACCTTTTCAGCTCTTGTTAGAAGGAAAACATGTAAATTCCAATTACAGGCGGAAGTTGTTCATTTGGTCAGCACCACAAGTGAAGGCCAGAGGAGAGAGGACACGCCTCCGGGTTCCTTCAGCCGGGCAGTGGCCTACACACCTGCCCCAGCAGAGGGCTTAGCCGAGGTCCTGGGGCTCTGATCCCTAAGTCCTTTTCAGGTGCTTGTGCACCAACAGGCAGCCCCCCTCCCCCAAGGCTGGAGCGGAGGCCAGGGGTCTTCCTCTGGCAGGGATTCTATGTGTGCTCCGTGCTGCAGTCTGTAGGTACTTAGAGCTCTTCCAGGGATAACAAAGTTGTTACTCCGCTTTGTGCAAATACCCCAGTGCTCCTCAAAGTGTGGTCCCCTGGCCAGCAGTGTCAGCATCACCTGGAATTTTAGAAGTGTAGACTCCGAGGCCCCACCTGTCAGGTGGAGAATGACCTTGACCCTGTAGCCTCCAAGGACACTGCTAGGAAAGCCACACCAGGAATCATGGAACGAGAGCATACGGACGGAATGAGATGTTGAATAGTGTGTTGGATCAGTTTACAGAAGGCAGCAGGAAGTGGGGCAGGTAGAGAAGCTCACACACGGAGGACTGGGCGGGTGCCGGAAGGACCGCCACATGAGTCCTGGCCCATGACTGTCCCGTGTCCTGTCCCTGGCTCTGCACACCAGCTGTCGCCTGTTGGTGGGAATGCCAGGACAGAGTTGAAGTTTGAACAAAGGACCACAGACAGAAGGTGTTCGAGTCCAGTGGCTCGCTTGCTCTGTTGCTGAGATGCAGGGGTGCAGTCCCCGCTGCCACTGTAGCTCCCAGTGAGGCCTTGGAGCAGTCAGGCGGCAGAGCATGTAGCCAGAGGGGACCGTCCTGCATGTCATGTCACGGGGGCTGCCAATTTAGGGGTGACACAGCTGGCAGCCTGAAGGTGGTATAATCATGACTTGGTTTTTCTAGCCCTCGGTACATGCGTGTAAGGGACACTTGTGTGTCTGTCATGTGTCTCAGGTGCTCTTTTGCTCTTTGACACATCTTAGAGGTTACTCGCTTAGGAATTCTGCCTCTTTCCACAAGCCACTTGCTCACTTTTGGTCTACACTTGACACATCCTGTGAGGTTTGCCTGCACCTTCAGAAGCTGCGATGTAATTTAAGCTTAGGTAGTAACATGCTCTGTGAGTGTTACCATCCTGCATCTTTCTGTAGCAGAACTGAGTAGCCTCACATAACACAGCACATACAATACACACACGTCCCAGACGAGTCAGAATCTGTGTGCTGCCATCCCCAGCAGAGTCCCTCCTGCTGCTCACGCTCCTGAGCTTCAGGTGGCAGCGGCCTGCACCCGGCATGGGCTGGTCCTGGAACCCTACACCCACCGCCCAGTAAGTCCAGAGCATTATGGAGTTGTGAGAATTGGGTTGTGCGGTTGACAAACAACAGTTGTGTTTTCCAGTTTGCCGGTTGGAGGAGCGAGAGTCAGAAATGAAGAAGGAGTACAACGCTTTGCACCAACGACACACAGAGGTAGGTGTCCAGCCATGACCAACGTCAGCCTCCAGCCCACACAGGCCAGGCACTGTGGCGGCCGCTCACCTTGGCTTGCCTCCTGGGCCTTTCTTTTCCTGGTGTTCTACTGTCAAGCCTGAAAGCTCAGGCTGGTCGGACTCCATTTTCCTGAGTTCTGTCATTATCTCCATCAGAGCACAGCAAGTTGAGAACAGCTTAGAGAGCGGAGTCAGAGAGGCCTTGGTCAGCAGGCATCACTCACGCACCTGTGTCCTTCTCCACAGATGATACAGACCTACGTGGAGCACATCGAGAGGTCCAAGATGCAGCAAGTTGGGGGGAACAGCCAGACCGAGAGCAGCCTGCCCGGGCGGAGGTAGGCAGGGCCGGAGCCTGCAGAGCCCGGTGGCCCCTTATCCCATCCTGTGGACTCAGGAAGAGGGTTGTCTGGTCGGAGTGTGTGGTTAAGCTAAGAATGCGTGCTGAGATTCTCCCAGGCGCCAGAGCAGGGTGAGGGATGTGGGGGGACCTCTGCTGGCTCATGTGGAGTCATGAAGGCCCGGGGGAAATCTTATGCAGTCGATCCTAATACTTGCAGATTCTGTGTTTGTGGATTCGCCTACTCACTAAAACTTACTTGTAGACTCAGTATCAACACTTGCAGTCACTTGCAGACATGCACAGAGCAGTGAAAAGTTTGAATCACCCAACACACACAGTGCCCGCTCCAGTCAAACAGGGTGTCACTTCCTGCTTGTCTCAGCCTCATGCAGAGATGCCAGAGGATGGAGACATCGGGTGCAGTGTTGTGCAAGGCACTTGGAGTCTGGACCTTGAGTGGGACTTGAAGCCCAGCTCTGGACCTGTTCATGGGACAGCTTTAGGTCACCAAACACATCTGCAACTCATTTTCTCTTTTTAAAAATAAAGCAAATAGAGTCTACTAGGATGAGTTAGGAATTATGATTCTAATCTACTAGAGGCCTGATGCACGAAATTCGTGCAAGGGGCTCAGCCCCTGCTGCCGCAGCAGCTGCCTCTACCTTGGCCCCCGCCGCCGCAGCTTCAACCAGAAGGACGTCCGGTCTAATTAGCATATTACGCTTTTATTATTATAGATGTGAGCTGTGTATCTGTATATGCACCTACTTCTCTGGGCGTAACGGTTCAGTGTTCACTAATTCAGTGTTCGTGGTGACTTTATAAAACAGATCCACTGAGGATCATGAGAATCGACTGTATGTGGGTGGGGAAGGGGTGGCGGGGACACTTCAGTGACTGCCAGGCGGAGCCATACTCCTGCTGCTGGGCAGAGCAGCGCCAATGCCAGCAGACTCAAGAGGCCCTGGCTTGTCTGAGCTTAGGAGCTCAGTGCTGGTTCCTTAGAGGAGTGGGGAGAGACCTGCAGAGGCCCGGCTCCTTCTCTGTCTTCTGTTCCCTGTGGTCAGATAAAACCAGACCACAGCCCCCCAGGGAGCAGATTGTCAGAGATCTCCAGGGTGTTGCCAGCTTGAGGGAGTTGGCCCATGAGAGACCAGAGTTGTTGACCTGGGAGGAGGAGGTTGGTACCATTGTTCCAAGTCTCCAACAGGCAGGAGGATGGGCCGAGGTGGGAATCCCAGGCCCCACAAATTGTGCTCAGCCATTGGTCCATTTCCAGCCGTGGCCCCTTGTTCCTGCAGGCAAAAGCCTGCAGCCCTAGTCAGGTCACATATAGGCCTTGTTGGCTACAGAAGTTTTTTTGTCCTGCCTCCACCAAGGATTACATCTGTAAACAAGTCGACTCAGGTCCTTCCTCTGTGGGCGTCCTCAGTTACTCTCTGGGTCATTGTGGGCACAGCTATTGTGTTTGTACTGGAGTCTTCAGATGTGAAAACAGAAGTATGTAGTGTGTGTGTGAGCCTCGTGGGGCCTGGGAAGGGTGGCCGTCGAGGGGTGCCCAGCATGGTGCGAGACAGTTGTGCAGGGCAGTCTGAGCTGGGGCATCTCCAGTGCGCACTGGGCACCTGGCCAGTCCCGAGCTGCAGCATTCTGGAGCCTTGAGGCCATTTCCCCACCAGCTTTCTGCAAGGCAGGAGCCACGGAGGTGTGACCTCTGAACTCAGGACTTAGAGGCCATGAGCATCTATGGTCCTCAGTCACAGTGGGCAGCACTCTGGGCCCCAGGGTCACTACAGAAATAGATATTCTTGGAACCTTGGGATGGTGTAGGCTCAGCCTAAAGCAGAAGCTGCCCATGCTTCACAGCTGGGCCCTGAGGTCCCAGCCATCATCGGGGCCAGTTCTGACCGCTCGTGCCTCCTCTGCATGGAAGAGGTGCGGTGGTTGCAGGGTGGCTGTGCTTTCTGTGGAAGTCTCCATGTGGTGGAGGCAGGACCTTGTCTGGGACCTGCTATCAGTGTGTCGTGTGGCCCATGCCCTGAGTAGAGTCTGACGAGTGTGGCTCTGACCCTCCAGTTTCCTTGCTTCTCAGAGTTATGGGAAGTCAGCAGCCCCCTCCCTAGAGAAGCCCCAGCCCCGTGGCGGGCACTGTCCTTTTGGACATGCATGGGTTGCTCACAGCGTCCCCTCTGAAGCCCCTCAGCAGCTCTTGAAGGCTGTGTTGGAACTCCTCCCCCTTCCCCCCCAGGTAATTAGAACAGCTGGTCATAGAAACCCCTCAACCTGTTTCATACGGCGGGTCTTTGGGTCTCTTCTGTCCATGTGGCCAGTTCAGATCCTGCTGCCGGGCCATGGCTGCTTGTAACTCTGGGCGAGCAGGGCCTTTGGAGCCCAGAGTAGAGAGCAACGCCTGTGGGGTTAGTTCACGGCAGGGGCTTTCTCCACGCCTCACTGGGCCTACAGGCGCCCCTTCATTTGTAAAACAGACCCACTGGCTGTCCTGGAGAGGTTGAGGCTCTGGCCCAGATTGCTGCACGCTTGTCTCGATCTGATCCGCCAGAGGGGGGCCCAGGTGTGCCCATTGATGGCTGTCACCTCCAGCCCTCGGCGCTCTCTGTTAATAGACTTTCCCGAGCCAGAGTTGCCACCATGGCAGAGAGATGCCTGCCACAGCAAGCAGGGGCCTGGGGCTGCCAGCCGCAGTCCTGCTGAGGTCCCTTGGCTGCAGAGAAGGGCGTGCTCCTGTGGGGGAGCAGGAAGCAGAGGGGTGGGGCCGTGCATTGGGGCGCCCCCGTTGCCCTGCCAGCCAGGTGGAGGCATTTAGCTTCATCACCAGCCTGCGGTTGGTTGTCCCGGGGTTGCTGCAACAGTTGTAGGGGCTCCCGCCTTCCCTGCAGCCACTTCTCCGTGGCCCAGACACTTGCTGGGAGCCAGATGTTCTGAGGGACATCATGTGTGTCTGACTGCCCCTGGACCTGTTTCCAGGTGAACAGACCTGGATGGCAGCCACCGCCCCGTGTTCTCAGAAAGAGCACCGGTGGCCATAGAGGAGGCCTGAGCCTCTGTCGCAGTGCTGGTTGCTGGCCTTTGTAGGGCTCAGGGTCAGACATCCTTTGTGACTGTGCTGCTGCATTGATGGGTTAAGGGAAGGCCCTGCCTGTCGCCCTGGACCCCTCTTCTCTGGGGTGTAGCCTCTCCTGCTACAACTCGGGATCTTTTAGGGACACACGTGTATGTCCACCCAGGTTCTTCATTCAGACTCTCCAGCTCCCACCATGAGGGCTCATCCTTAGTGCGGGGGAGCCTCTGGTCGCCCCTGTCCCCAGGCAGGCGTTTTCCTTCACTCCTGGCTTGGTTTCCTGGATTGTGTGTCTTTAGAACAAAACCCAGTGTGTGCTTGAAACACCTGGTTCGGTCCATGGACGTAGGCATGTGTGGCTACATGCTCCGTCCCTGCATGCCAAGTACACATGTGTGCTGAGCCATCTGGAGAGGACACGTGCCCACCGCCCTGTGCTGACTACATGTGTGACCTGCTGCACAGGCCTCGTTTGGGCCTTTATCCACGCTGAGGGTCATGTGTCTGTGTGTCATGTGTCTGTTGCATGTAGATATGTGCGTGTTTCGGTGTCTGTCTCTGGAGCGTAGAGTGGGTGCCTGTGTCATCGCACACGTACTCTGTGAGCAGATGTGCGACCGGAGCTCCCCGATGTTCTAACGCTGTCTTCTTGTCTTGCTCTCTGTGCTGTCACTGCTGTCTGCTGGCCCTGTGTCTGTCGCTGTCCCACAGTCCTCGTCAGTCGTGGAGGAAAAGGTAAAGCCTGTGCCGTGTTCACGCTGTCGTGCCAGGCGCTTGGGGCCCTTTGGGGTCGGGAGAGTTTATAATTAAGACGCTGGTGGTTCTTAATTATAAGCACAGGAGGTTCGTGGGTCCCTTCGACACTTGCTGCAGCGCTTTACAGACCACAGCCTCCTGACGGGGCGTTTATAGGGCCACGACACTGAGGAGGCAGCTGGTTGGCCCAAGGTCCTCGAGACAGCCCCAGAGTAGGTACTGGCACCGGGAACTCCACTCAGCAAACATCCACCCATCCACAGACGGGGCTGTGCATCCAAAGCCCAGGGCTGGCATTGCCGTGGTAGGTAGTGGGTGGGGTGGAGACCCTGGGCTCTGGTGTCGGAGCCCTGGGCCCAGAGCCAGGGGCGTGACTATGACCCCACAGATAGCGTGACCCCCTTGGGCTAAAGCCTCTGAAGTGGACAAGCATAGGCATCCCGAGGGCACTGCAGGGATGTAATGAGAGGACACACTAGCCAAGCTTCAGATAGGGCTCTGGCCTCAGTCAGCAATGCTGCAAGTGCTAACCTGGCTCAGAGCCATTTGCGATTCTGTGGGGAACAGCAAGGAGATGATCAGACAGAATTCCTGGTGATGATTTCTGTCGGGGGAGAGTGGCTGTCTGTCTCTGGATATAGTGTGTGTCTGCACACAGAGCTGTGGAAGCAGGTGATGGACAAGTGTCCCCTGTCCTTTAAAGCAAGATGCTCACACTCTGTCCCTGCTGTCACCCTGTAGCATCTGGTGACAGCCAGGGTCAAACTTGTCTGGGGCCAAAGGACCCGTCGTGTACATTTCACCCAAGGTCAGTGCCAGCAGGAGAGGGGCCCCAAGAAGGAAAAGTGGGCAAAGGACAGGCTGGGAGCCCCTGAGGGAGCAGATGGGAGTTGCAGCCCATCCTCACCTGGCCCCGCCCCTCCAGGGCTGTGCTGAGCATGTGGCCAAGGCTGCCGTCCCAGGTGCCTCAGGCCTGCGGGCTGTGTCAGAGCCAGAGTGAGGGCTGAGCTGTGGGCCTCTGAGATCTTGATGGATCTGCAGACTCAAACCTTCCCAACTTAACGTCATCCTTAGGATCTGAGTTTTTCAGATTTTAAGTGACATGTCTGAGAAAGCCTCCTCCGTCACAGGTGATGAGGGCTGTGTGCAGTACCTCCTGAGAGGCCTGGGCCCTGAGCGTGCCCCTCTGCATGACTCCCACAGGCATCGATGGCCCAGCCCCTTGGGAGCACACTGCTCCTCTGGTTCTGTCCCTGCCCCCGTGGTACTGCCAGGTCCCAGCAGGTCCAGGGAGCCTGCTCTGCAGGAAGCAGCATCTTCCTGAGCAGGACAGGAGCCAGGCACGGAGGGGACAAAGCAGAACGCGCCTCACGAGCTCTGTGTTTCTCTCTGCATGCGGGCCCGGCCAGAGGGACCCCTGCCCAGAGTTGGACTTCATGAGGCCATCTACCCGGCCATAGTCAGTTCTGGTCAACGGGGCTGCTCTGCTCCCCTCTTCACTTGCATCCGCCAGGCACCACGAGGAAGCCGTCTCTCTCCAGAACAGTCCAGCCCAGGGGTGGGCAAACTTTTTGACTCGAGGGCCACAATGGGTTCTTAAACTGGCCCGGAGGGCCGGAACAAAAGCATGGATGGAGTGTTTGTGTGAACTAATATAAATTCAAAGTAAACATCATTACATAAAAGGGTACGGTCTTTTTTTTTTTTTAGTTTTATTCATTTCAAATGGGCCGGATCCGGCCCGTGGGCCGTAGTTTGCCCACGGCTGGTCCAGCCTCTGGACCCAGCTCCTTGGACCCCTTAGGAAGCCCCCCACCACCCCTCCAGCCTCCGTCTCTGGGGATTGAGCTCTGATCATGAGAGGCTGTGGTTTGAGGGACTGCAATTCTTGGCCTAAACAGCTCTGAGCAGCGTGGGCTCTGTGGATGACAGTCCCTGGGTGCAGTGTGTCTGTCCTGGGGCAGAGTGGGAGCTGGCCTTGTCTCCACTACCTGGTGCCTGACTTGGAGCTCCCATGGAAGAGGGTTTCTGCCCTCACTGGTTCTAAGGCCCATGTAGCGTCTTCCCACAGACAAGCCCACGTCTGTGAGAAGGTGGCTTTGAGCTTCACTCTACAAGTCCAGGCTACCAGACATCCCCTTTCCTAGTGTAGCTTTGAAAACCCCTCTCTGGTGCCAGTGCTCCATGACAGCGGGGACAAGGCACCGAGCCAGAGAAAGGTGCCCAGGGGACTGCGAGGGGGTGACCCAGCAGAAGGCAGGCTCTCTTACTCTGTACTTTGTTCAAGCACTTTTTCCAGTGAGTTCTCATGAAAGGACAAAGGAGTGGGGGAGGGGCCAAATAACAGGGAACAGGGGCAGCAAGAGTTGATTTCTAACTGGCGCCATGATGTGAGTCTGGGCTCCACATAAGGAGACCGTCATTGTAACAGTTGCCACTCCCAGGAACCGTCAGTGCTGGCCATGATGTTGAAGGGCCCTTCGCTGGTACTGCTGTGGGGTGTCTTAGTATACATAGCAGATGTCTAAAATCAAAAGAACTAAACATAGTAAGTCACAGTGGACAGGAAAGTATTCTGTGGGATCACAGTGAAGCAGAGATTCCCCTGAATGTGCAAATACCTGGATTAAGGAGTGGCTGTGGATAGGAGGGGCAGGAGGTGTGATGGGCTTCCCAGAAGACCACGCCCTGCCCACCGCGGGCCTCTCCCTGAGCCAGGCAAGGGGTGTCATGCAGAACCGCTCTGTGCAGAATAGGCATCTGCATGTGCAAGTGGTCAGTTCTCATTTCATGAGCCACCATCTGACCGTCCACTTCCTGTCCTCCCTCACATTTCAGCAGGAAGGAGCGCCCCACCTCTCTGAATGTCTTCCCCCTGACCGACGGCATGGTACGTGCACAGATGGGGGGCAAGCTCGTGCCTTCGGGGGACCACTGGCACCTGAGTGACCTCGGCCAGCTGCAGTTCAGCTCCACCTACCAGGTTTTGTAGCCGTGCTGTGGAGTGAAGGTCCTCTCCCTGTCGCCCCATGTCCATTCAGGCGTCCAGTCTTTGCATACAACCCTTTGCAGCTTTTCCTGGGTTAGTGGGACCCCTCCCTCAGGTGTGACAACAGTGAAGAAACTGGACCAGCTCAGAAGGGCATGGTCTTGTATTGGCACCTACTAGTCCAGGCCAACCCCCTCTGCAGTTACGGTGGCTCATCTATTAGGGCTGAGCTTGGCGACCGTCCCCCAAACACACCCCAAAGTACCCGTCTGTGGCCAGCCCTGATGCCAGCCCAGAGTGCACTGAGCTCTGGTATCTGAGGTTTGCACAGCAACCAGGAGAGTCACAGGCAGGAGGCAGCTTCTCTTCTCTGGGCTGTGCTCACCCCCTGCACATACCAATGGCATCTGGCTCTCTGAGTTTGAGAAGCCGACATCCTGGGTGTGCACAGCTACCCAGGGAATGCACCCTGGAATGGGGGGCCTTGAGAAAACCGAGGGCAGGAACTTCCCATGGCCCATCACTCGTTCAGGGCCCCTGGTCACTTGCAGCCCGTTTTAGTCTGAGCTCAGCCTGTCTGGCGGAGGCAGGCTGTGGCAGGACAGGACATTGACCCCCTTGCCAGGTAAGGATGCCACCCTCGGGTGGAGGGGTGACCCTGGGGCCGGTGAACTTCCTGCAGAGGCTATCAGGAGACTCCTGCAGGAGGCAACGGGCTTCGGCATCTGGGCAGGGTTGGGGTGTGGACATGGGGCCCAGATGTCCTGGAAGTTTCCTCCCTGCTGTAGCTCCTTGCTGACTGTGCTCGCCTCTGGGTGCCTGGCTTGCCTGCAGGAGGTAGCTTCAAGCTGTGACTCCACTGGCTTCTACTTTTGCTCCAAGGAGTGAGCATGTCTCTCTGACATTTGACCCAGGCGCTCACCTGCCAGTTGTGGGCTATCCTACCAGTGGGTGGGGGCTGTGGGGTCCCAGCTATCCCCACCATTCAGGCCAGACTTGGCCATGTAAGCCAACTGCTCCCACTCTCAGACAAAAACTGAGCTTGCTGCTGGGGCTTCCCTGGGAGCTCAGAAACCACGGGCCTCAGAAACCTCTGGGGCCCTCACACTCCAGCCTCCCGGGCCTGTTTCTCCTCCCGCGTCTAAGCCCGCTTTTTTCTCATGACACCTGTTCTCTCTCCTCCTATGCTGTCTGACACAGTCTTTCTCTTAATAAATCACAGTGTTTTATGTTTTAGTTCTTAGGTGTGTTTTATTTTATTTTTAATTTTTTCAAACAATTATTTAAGTTCTTTTAATTTCATGTTCTAGGTTTTAAGGTTTTTCTAATTTCTTCATTTTGTTGTTGTTGTTGTTTTGTTTATTTGTTTTTATGTACTGTATTTTCAGTGTTTTAACCAAACAATTGTGGCTACTCATGGTGAGGAAAGACCGCTAAGAGTGTGGGTCTTTGCATTTGGAGGTCACTGCTACACGTTGATGTTTAGGAGGTTGAGAGGTTTGCCTTTAGGTAAGTGGTGGCCAGGGGGAGTGTCCCGTGGGTAAGTGGTGGACCATAGGGTAACGGAGAGCTAAGGGCACTTGGGGGAGTCCTGGTTTGTCGCAGAATTTCCCACCGTGATTACCAGGGTCAAGGAGACCCACAGAAAAAACACAGACACAAGTTTGAGAGTCGCAGGTAGGCTGGGAAACATGGCCGATGCGGAAGGTGGCTGGAAGGTGTGGTTCTGTGAGAGGGGCCTCCTGCACCTGACCTCCCTGGTCTTCCTGGAATTCCCGCACCTGGTCTCCTGCACCCTCTCGCGAGTGCTGGCACAGGACCTGGTGGCAGCAGAGCGCCCCTCCCCATAGGACGCCAGTGCCCCTGACGTGTAGAGGACAGAGCACCCGGGGAGCCATCACAGGAGCTTTCAGTGTGTGTCAGTGCTGTGAAAGGAAAGGAGTTTTCCTTCTCAGTTGGACCCTAAACCTTAGAACCCGAATCCTTTTTGAAATGTATTAAAAGAGGTGCATCTAAGGAGGGTGGGACAAGCCCTCAAGTAGGGCTTCTCACCTCTGCATCTCGACTAGCAGGGCTGTGGGGCCGTCCTGAGCTCTGTGGGATGTGGAGGGGCACCCCCGGACTCCACCCACTCCATGCAAGAGCACTTAACCCCCTCAAGTGTCTCCAGATGTCACAGGTGTCCCCTGGGACATGGCCTCCCAGGTCAGAAAACCCTGCCTAGAGGAGGATGTGGAACTGTGATTCCTGGTCGAGAAGTCTCAGGGGCCTGTTAGATGAAGCTGGAAATTGCTGTCCCAGGGAGAGGCAGTGTCCTGCCTGGGCCTGGCTGGAATAGATAGATCTCAGAAGTCTCCAACCAGCTCTGGCACCTGGTCGCAGGCAGTGTAGGTGGGTCCCAGCATTCATCCAGCTTTCTGGAGCGGGCGGGACACCCCCTCATCAGCCCCTCCCCGGTTAAGAAGTTCCCTTGGAAGTGTGCCCTCTGGAGAAACCGTGTGCCCTGGCACCGTAGGGCGGGTGATGTGCACCGTGAGCCGCCTCTCAGCCGCACCCCCACCCCAGGAGCTTCAGCCCTCCTGAGACCATGCCCTTCTCGGCACCATGAAAGGGGACGGGCCGAGGGGAACTGCTGCCCACAGGCTGCAGAGAGGCTCTGGGCACCTGCTCGGGTGACTCGGTTATCGCTAGACGAGGGGGGGGGGCTATTTTTATTGTGATTGTCCAATGGTTCCATGAGGGAAGGCTGCAGGAGAAGAAGTGTTTGTTCCACATCCTATACTGATTCAAGTGGAATGTGTTCTCTCCAAGAAAACCTTAAGGTTAACAGTCGATTGCAGATTTTAATTACCTGGTCTTTTCCACTCCTGGGACATTTTGGGGGTGTCCCGTCCTGTGGAAATGGAATTTCAGTTTGTACTTGCGTAGATGTCTGGAGTAGACCGTGGTCCCTTTGAGCTGTGGAGGTTGAGCATTGCATATCCCCTGCTGTGTCTGTTTGGGAGGCCATGACAGGCAGAATTGGGGAGGTGCGCACCCCTTCACAGCTCCTGACTAGCCAGGGTGGGAAGCAGGATACAGGAGTGGGTGGGACAGCCAGCCAGTGCCAAGCAGCAGAGTGAGAACTGGGTCAGAAGGCCTCCTCCCTGGCCCCATTAGAGCCCTCCGCCCACCCTGGGCGGCAACTTGTTTCTGACCACCCACTGGCTGCAAAGGGTTGCCTGCCATATCTGTGTAGCTCCATGTCCATCACATGCGGCATCATCGGGGAGTGTGCAAGCTGAAAGCTTCCATTTAAACGATTTACATAAGGTGGTGGCTGCCTCCTGAAAGCCAGAGGCAGTGGCTAGATGAGCCACGTGACTAGGTCACGAGGAATCGGCCCGACGGGAGAGCAGGGGTCCACCTGTCCCAGTTCAGATGCTGTTTCATTATGGTCAAGTGGCAAAGAAGCCGAGCGAGGGGCCTCATCCAGAGCCCCGGGGTGGGGGGGGTGCACAACGAGCTCCCCCTCTTCCTGTGTTTGGCCCTAGTGTCCCCAGGACGAGATGTCCGAGTCGGGCCAGTCCTCAGTGGCTGCCACGCCCAGCACCACAGGCACCAAGTCCAACACGCCCACGTCCTCCGTGCCCTCGGCCGCCGTCACCCCCCTCAGCGAGAGCCTGCAGCCCCTGGGGGATTACGGCACCGGCACCAAGAGCAGCAAGCGGGCTCGGGAGAAGCGCAACAGCCGCCACATGGAGGTCCAGGTCACGCAGGAGATGCGGAACGTCAGCATAGGTACCGCGCCTACCAGGCACTCCCTGGGCGGTGCAGCCACCATCCACTTGCCACCTGCTCTCCTGCCCTCCCTACCCTCATCCGTCCAGGAAGATTTCTCTCCTTCCTACATATTGTCATTTTGGAAGATGTATTAGTCCACTCGGATCGCCATAATAAACACCACAAACTGGGCACGCTAACCACAGACATTTATTTCTCTCAGTTCCGGAGGCCAGAAGTCAGAGATCAGGGTGTGGGCAGGGCCGATTTCTCCTGAAGCCATCTCCTCCCTGTGTGTGTACATGGTCCTCCCTCTGTGTGTCTTCATCCTAATCCCCTCTTTTTAGAAGAACATAGTCAGATGGGAGCAGGGCTCACCCTAACGGCCCATCTTACCTTGATCAACTCTTTAAACACAGTCACTTTCTGAGGTCCTGGGGGCTAGGGCTTCAATGTGTGAATTTGGGGGATACAACTCAACTCAGCTTCTAACAACAGACCACCACCATCCAGCAGATGCGTCTAGGGAAAAGGGGGAGAAAAATTGGGACGGTGTCCTGTTCAGAGGAGATCATGAGAAGGAGGCACAGTTCTGGGGGACAGCCCCACCCGCCACCAGGCTGGGAAAAACCCTTTCCTGAGGGTGTCTCCCTGGCGGTAGTCTAGCAGGGGTCTCTAGACCTGGGGCCAGAGGACGACCGTGAGTAATGCAGGGAACTTCAGGCACCCTCCTGACCCCTGTCCCCCTCTGTTCCCCAGGCATGGGCAGCAGTGACGAGTGGTCTGATGTTCCAGACATTATCGACTCCACCCCAGAGCTGGAGCCCCGCCTCGATCGCACTGGCAACAGGTACTCACTGGGCCCAGGGCCGGGTCCTCGTCAGCTCAGCATTCACCTCAGGAGTTGCTGCCCTTGCTGAGGGGCCCCCACAGCCTCTCACAGTGGGAGGATGTCGGGCTGACTGCTGCCCCCTACCACGCCTGCACCTGCACCAGCAGTGTTGGCTTTGAGTGCCTGTGTAGGGTGTCACCTTGGCCCATGGATGTTGCCCACTCACTCTGCCATTCCCCGCTGCGTGTCCTCACAGCCCGACCCAGGGGATTGTCAACAAGGCTTTTGGCATCAACACTGACTCCCTGTACCACGAGCTGTCGACCGCGGGGTCCGAGGTCATCGGGGACGTGGACGAAGGGGCCGACCTGCTAGGTAAACACAAGCTGTCTTGTGACCCTAGGGCCCTGGGCTGTTGTTGGTTTCATTTGTGATGAAAGCCAAGTCTCTGTCAGCTGTGAGCTAGAACTTCTTCCTACAATTTTATTCACATATAATTCACACACCATAAAACTCAGCCCCTTACAGAATACTCAGAGTTGTGCCTCTACCTAGTTTTAGAACAATTCTCACCCAGGAAGACACACATGCTAATTAGCACCAGGCTGGAGCACCGCCCCTGCCCACAGGCAGTCCGCTCCCTAGGAGTGTGTGAAGGGCAGGCTGTTGCCAGCTCCTCCATCCAAAAGGAAAATGCCAGGCGGTCAGTGTGCCTCTGCGCCCTCAGCACCTTGGTCTCCACCAGAGCTCCCTGTGCCCGGGTCTGATGTGGGTGCAGAGCTGGCTGCTCGATACAGACTGGCTCCTGGTCCTCCCTCCGTCCCAGGGTGGCCATCAGGCATGTAGAGCACCTGGGTTTTGCCAGGCAGCTGCTGGTACCCAAGGACTGCCCACATGCTTCGAAGCCAGTCAGGCGGGAAGTCAGTGTCGCCTCGGGAGTCTCAGTGGGGTTCAAACCTCCTGCCCCTGACCGTGTGTTTGTGTGCTCCCCACCCCAACCCCTGAAGACCCCTAACCCAACCGTCTGTCCAGAGCCCGAGTCTTGAGAAGCAGCCTAGTCCCCCAAGCCAGGCTGTGGGAAGAGCTCCAGGACCTCAGGGACTGCAGCTCAGCGCTTCCTCCCCACTGAGCCCCCTGGCAGAGTGGGCTTCGGGGCGGAGTGTGGCTGTGTTTCCATGGAGCAGTGGTTCTGTGGGTCCTCTCCCCACACCCAGCTCCCCTGAAGTGGCTCACAGGGAAAGGGCTGCTCTGTCCCCACTGCTCGGGCAGGAGCAGCATCTGCAACCGGGGCAGTTGCCTCAACGGTGCACATGGCACGTCGGGGTGGAAACTGCTCTGCTCTCCTCCCCCAAAGTCTTCGAGGGCTGCCTTCCGCGTCGTGATCTGTAGTTCGCTCTCTGCTCACATTGAAGGGCTTTTACTGATGAACACTGACTCCCCGGATCGGGTCTGGGCTCCCATGCTGGGCACTTCGTGTGGTCAGCACGGTCCCCAGGGACGCGGCGGCCTTCCGGCTGCACCGGTTGGCAGGCCTGGGCCTGCGTGGAAGAGTCCCGTTGGTATTTTCAGTCTAGTAGGTTGTCACTTTCTTCGTCTTGGGGTAGCCTCTTGGTTGTTTTCATACGTTGTCTTAGGGTAGGGAACACCTGTGAGCATAATTAATTGGGGTGTCAGCCAGCACCTCCTGTGTCTGAAATGGAAGTTTTTTCAGCTAATTTTTAAATTGTGGTAAAATACACATGAAATTTATCTTCTTGTGCATTTTTGAGTGTATATTGTAAATTATGTTCTTACTCAGTGGTGAAAGACTGCAATCTTTTCGTCTAAGATTAGGAACAATATGTCCACTTTCGTCAATATGTACTTTTAATGGAATTTTTATCATAAGCATTGTAAAAATATATATTTATAAATATACAAAAGCTATTAATATTCAGAAAAATCTAATTAGGGGCAATCACTAGTAGTATTTTGATGTCCTTCCACTCTTCTTTACATAGTTCAGATAATGACATATATATTCTGTTTTTAGGCATTTTTTAATTTCGGAAAAATGATGCATGTATATTATAATAGTCAGATAATATCAGAAATTACCAAGAAGAGAGTGAAAACCAAAGGACAACCCCCACCCCACCCCCCAATGCCGTGATGAGTGTTTTCATGTCTTGGTGACACTCTTCCAGGCCCCGTAGATCACACGGGGCGTGCGTGGTCGGCTCATGTCTCCTTTTCTTTGTGGATGACGTTGCCATTTCCCTGAGCTTCTAATGCTCTACACCAGCAGTTCTCAACCTGTGGGTCGCGACCCCTTTGGCGGTCGAACGACCCTTTCACAGGGGTCGCCTAAGACCATCCTGCATATCAGATATTTACATTACGATTCATAATAGTAGCAACATTACAGTTAGGAAGTAGCAACGAAAATAATTTTATGGTTGGGTCACAACATGAGGAACTGTATTTAAAGGGCCAGAAGGTTGAGAACCACTGCTCTACACGTTTTCACTCTTTCCTGGTGTGACTGTAAGTTACCCAGGCAGTTCTCTCTTGGTTCTGAGTTTTGCTGTCTGAACACTGCTGTCATGGACGCCTGTGGGTGCGTATCATTGCCCACATCTCTGATGGTTTTTTTAACTCAGATTTTTAGACGTGGGAACCCCAAGGTGGAGGGTGTGACTCTTGAGGACTGGCTACACGTTGCTTTCCCAGAGGCTGCCTCCCTTGCTTTGTACTCACACCCATAGGGGCAGGGCTGGCTGTCACTACAGGCAGGTGTACCTTGGGAAGGCCACATGTCAGCGTTAGAAGGCACAGGAGTCAAGGCTGTTACCTCGTCACGCACACTGAGTCCCGGAGTAGCACCTTCTGCCCGGCCAACCTCTCAGGCTGCAACCCTACAGGCCGGTGAGGGAGGCCCTGGAGAGCACGCCTGGGAGGCTGCCTCTCAGGTGAGAGGGCTCCTGTGTGCTGAGAACTGGCACAGCAGATCAGGATGCTCTCTTGAGCTTTTGGGAATTTGATAAATACATAAAAGCCTCCTCCCCAGAAAAGCATGGAGGGGGTCAGAAGCCACCGCTGGCCAGGAAGGGGTGGGAAATAGAATGTAGGGAGGTGGAGCAGGGTCCCACCGCACCTGTACCTATCTCCAGTAGCACCCGCATTTTATGTGCACAGCCACCATGAGTCCATCATACCGCTCGTATCCTCACTTTATAGATGAAGAAATGGAGGTTAAGGAGGGTGAGATAAAAGGACAGAGCGAAGACTCGAACCCAGGTCCAACCCAGAATGAAAGCCCTGACTCTGCCCAACCACTATGCTTTTTTAAAAAGAGCTTTATTGAGATGGAGTTTCACTCCATACCATTCACCCACTTAGAGCGTATCCAATGGCTGTGAGCATGTCAGAGCTGGACAGTCATCAGCACATAACTTGAGAACATTTCGCCCTCCAAGGGGAAACCTGTTAGCAGTCACTCCCCGCCCCTCCCCAGCCTGCAGCACTCACTCTTCTACTTCCTGGCGATACTTTTGTCTCTTTTGGACGTGTCCTATCAGTTGGTCTTTCCTGTCTGGCTGGGCTCGTTGAGCATGGTGCGGTTGAGGTTCACCCAGGCTGGAGTAGATTTCAGAACTTCATTCCTTTTTATAGCTGCGTAGTGGTCAGTTGTCTGGATGGATCACACTTCCATTGATGGGTGTTCGGGTCATTCCCACTTTTGCCTGTCATCTCTAGTGCTCCTGCTACACTTCTGGCCCCTCACGTGATTCTGTAGGAGTGCTGACCAGCCTCCTCATTGCCCGTGACCCCGGGTGGCCTGCCTGTCCGTCTGTCTGCAGCCCCGGCAGCAGAGCTCTCCTCACTGGTGGGCCTCTTCACGTGACCGTTCCCTCCCTCCCTTCTCGGAGCCCTAGGGGCTGTCGGATGCTCGGAGCCCTATGTGGCCACGTCCTGTGGTCGTCATTGACTCCCGATTTCGGCAGCATCACTCAAAATGTCACTTTCGTACAAAATCTCCATAAACAATGATGGGAGGAAAAAATGATGAACTAGAAACTGCACATCAGTGAATTTTACCGGGAGGCCACCTTAACTGAATCAGTAATTTAAAATGGGGTTGCCTGGCCGGTGTGGTTCTGTGGTTGAGGGTCGACCTATGAAACAGGAGGTCATGGTTCGATTCCAGGTCAGGGCATATGCCCAGGTTGTGGGCTCGATCCCCAGTGTGTGGGGCATTTTCCAGTGGTGCGTGTGCAGGGGGCCACCGATCAATGATTCTCATCATTGATGTTTCTATCTCTCTCCCTCTCCCTTCCTCTCTAAAATCAATACAAAATTTTTTTTTAAAAAAAATGGGGTCATTAATTCTCAGTCAGATGTAGTAGGTCCCAGGAACCGTAATGATGTCTGAGGAATCTCCTGGGGTCGGTCCCAGCACAGGGAGTTCGGTATGATCTTTTCAGGAGAAGGTCTAATCAGTGCAGCTGATGGGTCTTTGTTCTGAGGACTGGAAACCAGCACCCTTTTCTCATGGACAGAGTGTGAGATGCTGTGCACTCAGCCTTCCCCTGTGATGCTTTATTTTTGGCCGGATGGTGGTTCTCTTGGGCATCACCTAGTTCTGGTTGAAATGGGCCCCTGCTCTTGGGGGTGGTAGACCTTTTGGTGCCTTTCCAGAGCCTTGAGCACAATGAGCGTGGGAAAATCAGGCAGCCTTGAGTAGGAGAGGGTGGAGTGCTGTTGTGACGTTGGGTGGAGCACTGACTCAGGGCGGCCTGCTGTGTCTAACAGGGGGGCCCCATCACTTGAGTGTGGCTCAGCACAGTAAGTGTCAGTGACCGGGGTTTTGGTCCCCCCTCACTGTATTTCTGAGGATACCTGTTGCAGGAGTGAGCGCCTGACCCTAGGTTTCCTTTGTGGCTGCTAATCGGGGAAGAGACTGGGACAGTGGGTAGTTCTGTCAGTCTTGGTTTTGTGACTTTTTTTTTTTAATTTCAGAGAGGAAGGGAGAGGGGAGAGAGATAGAAACATCAATGATGAGAGAGAATCAATGATCGGCTGCCTCCTGCACACTCCGCACTGGGGATTGAGCCCACAACCTGGGCATGTGCCCTGACCGGGAATTGAACCATGATCTCCTAGTTCATAGGTCAACACTCAACCACTGAGCCACACCAGCCTGGCTTGTGACAGTTTTCACAGTGGAAAGATCTTGTCATTTCAGAAACACATTAATGCTCTAAGCCAGCGGTTCTCAACCTGTGGGTTCTCAACCTGGGGGTCGAATGACCCTTTCACAGGGGTCGCCTAAGACCATTGGAAAACACATATATAATTACATATTGTTTTTGTGATTAATCACTATGCTTTAATTATGTTCAATTTGTAACAATGAAATTGGGGGTCACCACAACATGAGGAACTGTATTAAAGGGTCGCGGCATTAGGAAGGTTGAGTACCACTGATCTAAGCAATAAGATAGAGATGATTCTTAAGGCAGTTGGCATAGTTGATGACAGCATCCCCAAACTCTCAGTGCCTGGATTGGCTCTTTTATGCCTCTATCACCATTTGGACTGTGAATTCCTGTAGCAAAGAAGGAAGGGGTACACATATGTTATTATATTGCATTGAATCTACACCACCACCAATTATATACTATTATTTTAGAAGTCTCCAAGAAAGAAAACAATTGCTGCAAATTAAACTATAACATGCCATTGATTATAAACCCATTTATAATTTCAGAAGTGTTAAGGTATGAAAATATGCAGCATAGAATTGACATAACTGGGGAGTAAGGGAATTAATACTCCATTTAGCAGGTGCCAGGTGCCCTATCAGGGACTTTCACAACAAGCCTACGCTAAGGAGATTCTGTCTTCATTTCACAAATGAGGAAACAAAAACTCAGTCTAAATAACCCGCCCTGCATCACTTAGAGTCTGCCTTTTGTTCCCCTCTGCCTCACTAGGGTCCAGCAGTAGGTCCCCACTACTTTGTAATGAGACCTAGAAAATGTCTATAGCCCTGGCTGGTGTGGCTAGGTTGGACCGTCATCCCATGCACTGAATAGTTGCTGGTTTGATTTCCTGTCAGGGCACATACCTAGGTTGCAGGTTCAATCCCCAGTTGGGCATGTACAGGAAGCAGCCAGTTGATGTTTTTCTCTCACATCCATGTTTCTCTCTCTATCTCTCTTCCCTTCTCTCTAAAATCAGAAAAACATATCCTCAGGTGAGGATTAAAAAAAGTAAAATGACTATAAATAACCATGAGAAATAGAAAAACCTTTGTAAAGAGAGTTAGAAAATATAATTGAAGAACATAAAAGAGGCCCCATGTAAATAGAGAATTATGACAAATTCTTGGATCTAAAGACTGAGCTCGGTAAAGCTGTCAGGTAGCATCATAGATCAACCCGTTGTTCGTACATGAATTCATTTGGTGCCAGTAAAAAGATCCACACGGTTGGTTCTTTCCTAGAACTTTCTGAATGAATTCTGAAGGTCATCCAGAAGAGTACATGTGTGAGAATAATCCACACATTTTTGAGAAAGAAAAAGGTTGCAGGATGGCCATTCCAGGTATCAAAGCATTTTGTAAAGCTACAATGATGGAAATAGGCAGCTCTGGGCAGCGATAAACCAGTGACTCTGAGTTCCTGGTCAAAGAGCTGAGGACAGACCTGGAGCCAGGTGGGAAATCATATGTAATAAATGCAGCATTTCAAGTCATTGGAAAGTAGGTGGGATAGAGATACTGGAGAAAAGTGAAGTCTGATCCCAACCTCACATCATATACAAAAGTAACTGAAACACACCAGCCAGGCCTTATGCTTAGATCTTTAATATACCTACATATATTAAAGATATTAACGATCTAAGCATATATTAAAGATCTAAGCATAAGGCCTGGCCGGTGCAGCTCAGTTACTTGGGCATCATCCCACTGCACTGAGAGATCACAGGTTCAATTCCTGGTCCAGGCACATGCCCTAGTTTCGGACTTGATCCCCAGTAGAGGGGGTGCAGGAGGCAGCTGATCAATGTTTCTCCCTCTCCCTTCCCCTCTCTCTAAAATCAGTAAAAACATTAAAAAAAAAAAAGGTCTAAACACAATAATACATGGATAATAGAACTGGGAGAATATTGGAGAGCATTTTCATATTTTGGGTCTTTGCATAACCATAGCTATAGAGGAAGATGTTGACAGGTGTGACCACATGAAAATTGAGAATATGTGTTTATGATCTCCATCACTAAAATACGTCAAGTACAATAGAAAATGGACAGAGGATAAAATACGGTATTTACAGAAGATACAAATAAACATGAAAAGGTGCTCAATTTCAGGAATAATACAGAAATAAAAATTGAGAGTAAATAGAGATAACTCTTTTTCCTCAAAAGATTGACAAAGACAGCCCTAGCCAGTTTGGCTCAGTGGATAGATCATTGGCCTGCGGACTGAAGAGTCCCAGGTTCAGTTTCCGATCAGGGCACATGCCTGGGTTGTGGGCTCGATGCCCAGTGGGGGATGTGCAGGAGGCAGCCAATCAATGATTCTCTCTCATCATTGATGTTTCTATCTCTCTCTACCTCTCTGTCTTTGAAATCAATAAAAATATGTTAAAAAAAAAAAGATTGACAAAGACAAAGCAGGCTCTGTTTTGCCCCACTGGTGGAGCTGCGCCGGCAGTGTGGGCTGCTGGCTGGACACTTGGAGTGAGCAGGACCACAGGTTCTCAAACAGCACCACCTGCCCACTCCTGAGGCTGTGCGTTGTGGTATCCTGGCTGCTCATGCAAAACCATGTGCCCAACATAGTCACGGCATGAGTGCTGTAGTGAATGCTGGGACGTTCCTGTGCAGGAACATGACGGCGTTCGAGGTGATCATGGGTCTTTGTGAGACAGTGTTAGGTGAAATAAAGCAAGTTGCCCAAGAAGATGGATAGTGTGGTTGTGATTTTGTTTTTTAAAAACTGATGTTTATAGAGAAAGAGGTCTGAGGGGAAGAATATCAAATGTTAACAGTGGCTGTCCTGGGAAGGAGAGATGAGAGAGAGGGCACTTTTGAACTGGTGCACTTCTTTATTTGAATTCCTGCAACAATTTATGTATTTTGCCATTTAAGTCAAGTGACTTTTTATACCATTTCTTTTATCTGTGAAATGAACCGAGTGGAACAGTGTGGTCTCATCGTCAGTTGTGTAGCAGAGAGCAGTTTGGACCCATGTGAGGACAGTGCATGCCTCGCCCCGCCTCTGCTCTGACTCAGTGTTTTCCTTCGTGCACAGTGGGCCTGTGTTCTGGTCATCCCTTACTTGATATTGTGCCCTTCCTGCAAGATCTAGGCCGGCCAGGGGACCCTGCAAAGCCGGGTGCCTGTCTGCGGCTCACTCACTCCAGAGAGCTTGCTCACCCTGAGGGGCGCCTTTGTGGTTGGACACCCTTGTCACCCCACCCATTAGCAACCACACACATACATACATACCCAACCACACTCATGCACACACGCACAACCACTCTCCCATGCGCACAATATCCCCAGGCAACCACATACACAGCCATGCACACATATACTCTTATCTCTACAGGTCTGCAGAGGGCTGGCCCTTCTGATGGGTGGGTATTGGAACTAGAGGGGTGAGCAGGCTTTAGATTCCCACCCCTTCCCCTCCCCCACCCCCTCCCGGGGGTTCTAGGTGCTCTGTGCCCCCTGGGGACTGAGAGATGTTCTGTTCTGGCCTCCCTTTTCCTTCAGGGTTTCTGCCCCCAATGGGATTTGTCACCACAGGCCTGGTGACATCTGCTTGCATTCTTTTATGCTTGTCAACGTGGAAATGGCTGATCATTGTTGCTTTTTCTTTATTAAGAATTTATTTTGTTGGTTCCAGTCACCAATTGACCTTTGTCACTTACTTTCCCTGTCATTTTGTGCTTCGCTGGACATGGCCCCAGGGGAGTTCTCAGGTGTGTATCTCTCCTGTCTGTCTGTCTGTAGTCCCCTCTTCCCCACAGTGGAGTCCAGGTGGAGTGGGGTGGTGCCCCAGGGACACGCCCTGCTGCTGTCGCACTGCAGCCACCACTGCAGCCTGACTCCGTCCAGGCCACTAAGGCACACGTGCTTTTGCTCAGCAGCCTGCAGCCGCTTGGAAGCTTATTTTGGTTTGCTCCCTAGCCCACTGATGGTGACCTTGACCTCTGAGGGAGAAGCTGTGCCCTGACCTGTCTTTTTGAAAGTCATGAATCCCCCACGGTCATTTCTTAAGGTTCTACAGAGCCCTTAGGAGCATAGGGCAGTGACCTGGCCAAGGCCTCGGGCCCAGGTCTGTGGTGTCTCTGTCGGGTGCATCCCAGGAGCCAGGGATCTAGTGAGGCCTCCGCCAAGCGCAGCCCAGGGTCCTCTCCCCATGGGGCAGGTGGACTGAGATCCTGCTCCCTTGCTTTGCAGCAGGAGGTGTTAAGACCCCCACGTCCCAGGTGCAGCCTCTGCAGTGTGCAAAGGCGCGAGGGTCCCGGGCACAGGCTCCTTCCCTGCAGAGACTTCTTCCTCAAGTGGCTTACCCGCCCCTCACCACCCAGGTTGTGGTGTAAGTGTCAGCGCATCGCCTTGACCTTCCACCTCCCCGGCAAGTGCTCTTGGCCTGGTGGTCTGTGCAACCGACAGATAAACTTTCCAGGAGTAGCTGGCTGCCTCCCATCCTGCTCCTGTGTCTCACTCCCACGCAGGAGCAGTAGCCCTCTAACACCTCCACTGCTGTCCACACAGGCTTAATGCGCTTGTTTTCTCTCCCTGCCTCTCCTGATCCTTCCTCCCGCCCTGGTTGCCCATCTCCTGTGGGACTGGGACTGCTCCCATAGTGCGCGATGATTTTTTTGGTAAGGCCACGGCCCCATTTCAGTGTGTGTGTCTCTCATTTCGGGCTTCCTTTGTCTACCCAACACCTTCTCATGCTTCATGAGCCGTCTGCTTTGTTCTGCATGGTGAGGCAGAGGTGGGGTCAGCAGGGACTTCCGGGGTAGAGATGAGGAGTGGGGGGTCTCTGCCCTGACACCCCAACAGCCTCCTTCAGAGCAGACCCTTGGCCGGCTGAAGAGGGGCAGACCCAGCCTCTGAGCCTCCATAAGCTCAGGGCAGGCTGGCCCCCGTGAGCCTGTCTGGGCTGAGCCTGCCTGGTGCCCGCTGTGCCCCATCCAAGGAGGAGGCAGGCCCCAGGTGAGGCAGGGATGTCTGAATGGAGACAGAACCCGAAGCTGAGCACACTGCGTGCCTGTGTATCTTGTCTCATGACTGTATTAGATCGCAGAGGGGAGTAAAAATAAAAGGGACAGACCTGGGTGTGGGGGCTGATGAAAAAGGAGTAGATTCAGTACTTTGGGGGGGTTTTGTGACATGTCTGCGGAGAGCTTAGTCTCTGGGGTCCACTGTGGGGCTTGGTCACAGAGCAGCCAGGTCATCCGCTCTGGGCACTGGCCCTAGGGAGCTCTGTCCTCACTTCCACTCCCTTTTTCACCTGCTGACCCCACCGCCTTGGGCCAAGTCCCTTCAGTCCTGTTCCTAGCCGTGGTGGAGGGCTGCGCCTGCTACGGGCCATCCCATCTCCTCGGCTAGGTGTTCTCTGTATCTTGTGTTGTCTTCTGTGTTCCTGTCACCATGGCTCCAACCTCCATTCCCTTAGGGCGGGGTGAGGGGAGCAGCTCTGAAAGGGGTCAGTTTCATGATAGGCCGGGAAGCCACAGGGTGGGGTAAAAGGGGTGATTCTGGGATGGGGCGGGGGGGCTGAGACTGGGGTGGATGCACAGAGCCAGTTGAGTCAGCTCAGGCTGGTGCCATCTGGGCCCTGATGGTACAAAGACTTTGTGTTGGTAGAAAGCTGTAGGAACCCAACTCCACCCATGATCCAGAATGTAAGCCCAGCGCTGCTGCATCCATCAAGGCCATGGAGACCTGCTCGGTGCCTCTAGGAGACCATCTGGGACCCCCTTGGGGCTTGCACACGGCAGGTTCATCCCTGACCACGTTCTGGGTGGTGAGGGGCCTGGAGGCCAGCAGAGGCCTCCCCCATGGTCTGCGTGGCCTCCCTTTGCAGCCGTCTTCCTGCAGGTCACACCTCTAGTCCTGATGCCTCTCACCAGCCCTCTCAGGTGGGCTGCTCCCTGGGCGATGTTCATTACTCTAAGGCAGGTGGTGGCATCAGTCAGCGTCTGGCTTTACCAGGCACAAAACCTCGGCACCTTTTGTTTCAGGAATGGGCAAGGAAGTGGGGAATCTGCTGCTGGAGAACTCACAGCTTCTAGAAACCAAGTAAGAACGCTCTTGTCGACGCCACCGGTGCTGAGATAGCCCTCCACAGGCCTCCCTGTGACAGCCATGTCAGCCCAGCCCAGGGGGCAGCCCCCAGGAGGACCTGGACCCACAAGGCTGAGCTCGCCCCTCCTGGGAGAGTGGCCACTGCCGTTAGTGGGCGCACGTGGTAACCACCTCGAGCCCCATCCTGGGCCAGGCGGTGCCTTCTCAGATACACAAGTGCGGGCGGACCCCTCTGCGACCCCATCACATAATGTCCAGGCTGGTTCACACGAGGCTTCGGTCTCTCTGCCTTTTCAAAGAAACGCTCTGAACGTGGTGAAGAATGACCTCATCGCCAAAGTGGACCAGCTGTCTGGGGAGCAGGAGGTGCTGAAGGGGGACTTGGAAGCTGCCAGGCAAGCCAAACTGAGGCTGGAGAGCCGAATCAAGGACCTGGAGGAGGAGCTGAGGAGGTGAGCAGGGCTGCGGGTGGGGGTCCCAGAGGGACAAGGCCTGAGAGCCTGGAGGGCAGAGTGAGATCCCTGCTGGGCCTCTATTCCATCCCTGTCATCCTTTCTGCCAGCCACACCCCAGTGGCCATTCCTTCCCAAAGTGACTCACTTTGCATGCTCACCTCTCAGCCACCCCACCTACTAGCTACTAGGTTGTCTGCCAGCCCCACCCCTTTCATCTCCTTCCTCACTGGAATCCCACAGGAGGGTTGGTGCTCCTGCCTGGGGTGCCCTTTCCTTAGTGGCCCGAGCTGAGCCTTCCTGCTGCTCTCACACATCACATTCGCACAGGAGGAGGGAGCGGGGGATTGACAGCTGGCTGCCCTTCACACCCTGTGCTCCCCCCCGTGGCTCCCAGTTCCTTGACAGCGAAGGTTCAGCCATGCAGTCCCATTGGGAAGCTCTGGGGCTTCCTCCCCAGCAGTCTGCACTTCCCTGTAGCCTTTCTCTTCTAGCCTGATCCTCCCCCGTTCTCCCAGAGAGGTGATGGGAAAGGGGACGTGCAAGGAGGGCCTCAGGCCGGCGGCACCTGTGCCCGGTTTGTGGGAGTGGGAGCCACATCTGCTCCAGGCTTGCCTGACGCCAGCGCTGCCTGTGCCAGGAAGGATCGCTGGTTCTGCCTTCCCATCAGTTCTTGATCGCTGAGGGGAGGGCCTGTGCCTTGGCTGGAGCAGCCAGGGCAGATGTGTGAGCTTCAGGGCACCGGCAGGAATGCTCAGGGGCTAGGACCTGAGGGGAGAGTCCTGAGTCTCCTCCTGGCGTCCCTCTCATCTTGCAGAGTGAAGTCCGAGGCTATCATTGCCCGCCGTGAACCCAAAGAAGAGGGGGAGGATGTAAGCAGCTATCTCTGTACAGAATTGGTATATTCCACTATTAACATGTGGGGCAGGGGGGTGGCAGTGGGCGGGCTACCAGGGATGCGCTCTTCCCTCTGGGCCCCGTCACCCTCACCCCACCTGTGTGATGACCACACCCAGCAGCATCCACCCCACCCCGGGATGTCATAACGTCAGAACAGGACCCCTTAGCTTCCGATCCTAGTGCGTGCATTTGTTAACCCTTACCCAAGGATATTTTTTCCCCATTAACTTTCAGAGAGTGGAAGGGAGGGGGAGAAACAGAGAAAGAGGAACATTGATTAGTTGCCTTCTGAATGTGCCCCAACTAGGGCCGAGGATCAAGCCTGTAACTGAGGTACTTGCCTTTCACCGGAATCGAACCTGGGACCCTTCAGTCCAAGGGCAGACGCTCCAACCACTGAGCCAAACCGGCTAGGACCTAGTGGATGCATTTTATACAGTCACAAGCAGGGTCTCCCTGCCTATGCAGCATAGCCACTGCTCCATATACTCCAACTGGTAGAGCAAGGCTGTGGAAATAGCGTCAGTCACCACTGTCCCCAGACCAAACAGTTGGCGTAGCTCAGTGGCTGGGAGGCCCTCTGCCTACTCATCTGTCCCCACGTCCTCCCCAAGGTGCACTGAAATTTCTGAGGAAAGTGGGCCCCTCTGCTTCCTGCAGGAGGCAGTCCCGGGTCTTCACCCTCATTAGCTGTTATTTTCCGGGTCATATGACACTCACATCAGGATGCAGTTCACAGCAGGCACTCAGGAAGCAGTAGCCGTTCCTACGCACCCTCACTCCAAGCGCTCTAGGGCAGAAACAGCTGCAGGGGAACTGTGGCGTCCCCAGGCCGTTCCCACGTGCTGACGGAGGTGCCTGGGAGGGGCCTCTGCCTGCTTGTGGGGCCTGGGCTGCATGTGGTGGGGGCCACATGGGGAGGGTGCAGCCCTCACTGGAAGCTCCCCTCTGGGCCCCCTCGCCCCTGCACCAGCCAGCAGCTCCCCAGGACTCAATTTCACAGAGTAGACTTGGTCCTGTCACAGAATTTGCCAACAGCAGACCCCTCACAGATCCACCAAAACTTCCAGCGTGCGGCCTGGCCGCATGGCTCAGTGGTTGAGTGTTGACCCATGAACCAGGAGGTCACGTTCTCTTCCGGTTCAGGGCTCATGCCTGGGTTGCAGGCTCGATTCCTCAGTAGGGAGCGTGCAGGAGGCAGCCAATCTATTATTCTCTCTCATTGATGTTTCCATCTCTCTTTCCCTCTCCCTTCCTCTCTGTCTAAAATCAATAAAAATATATTTTAAAAATAAAATAACATAAAACACCTTCCAGTGTTCAGCTTGGATGTGGTGACCCCAGGCCCTGCTCACCTCCCTAGCACCTCTTCCTGCAGCTTCCCCTTGGGCCAGTCCCACCTGTTAGTGTTGACTGAGGCATTTAGGATCGCCACGGTGCCCAGGGCTCATAGGAAAAGTCACTGTGCCCTCAGGTGAATCCTGTGACCTTCTGGAAAGAGGGTGGCCCTGTGGGTGGGTAGACTTCCATGTCTTCCGTCCCCCTGCCCACACCCTCCCCACCCATTTGCCTGAGTCTGTGGGAACCCGCACTTGGATTTGCCCACACCCGGAGGCCAGCCCACAAGGAATCTCGGTGTGACCTGGCCTTGGAGGGCACTGGACTGACCTGCCAGTTGGTCCTTCACTGGCTAAATAGCAGTGCCCTTTCCCTGCAGGACAAGATTCCCATGGCGCAGCGCCGCCGCTTCACTCGGGTAGAGATGGCCCGTGTGCTGATGGAACGCAACCAGTATAAGGAGCGGCTGATGGAGCTGCAGGAAGCTGTGCGGTGGACCGAGATGATCAGGTGGGCTCCAGGGCTGCCCGCAGGGACCCTCTACGAGGTCCTGACTTGGAGGCTGACCTCTACCCCACCCACCTCCCTCTCTTCTAGGAAGTGTGAGGGGGCTTCCCAGGTGGGGGCCTCTGGGGCCAGGAGAGCTGAGCCTCCCCTGCAGCCCTGGCCTGGCAGGGAGATGCCCACTGGGCTCGAGCTGGGCTGGGACATGTTGGGGCTGGTGTGCTAGGCCCCTCTGGGAAGTTCTGAGTGACCTGCCCAGGACGCCCTCTACTCTGTTGCTCCATTCCCCGTGTGTCCGGGATGAGGGTCTTTTTCGAGGGAGGCGAGAGGGAACCTAGGAAGAGTGGGGTCTGGCCATAGGCGTGGGTGGGCAGTGGGTGGGCTGAGTGCAGTGCGCATGGCTGGGCAGGGTACGGGGTGACAGGTTGGGCAGTGGCTTAGCTGGGCCCCTTCCCTGCCCTCCCTTGTAGAGCATCCCGAGAGCACCCATCTGTCCAGGAGAAGAAGAAGTCCACCATCTGGCAGTTGTGAGTTGGGGCGCTGGGCTGGGGAGGGGGCAGGGAGGCCTACCCCAGGCCCACCGCTCACTTCCCATGCCTCTGCTGGCAGCTTCAGCCGCCTCTTCAGCTCCTCGTCCAGCCCCCCACCAGCCAAGCGGTCCTACCCCTCGGTGAACATTCATTACAAGTCACCCACCACAGCAGGCTTCAGTCAGCGCCGAAGCCACGCCCTGTGCCAGATCTCAGCAGGCAACCGGCCCCTGGAGTTCTTCCCAGATGAGTGAGTGTCCCACCCTTACCTGCACCTCCCACATGGCTCAAGGGGAGGCCAAGGTGGCCCAGAGGCACTGAGCAGGACCTGCCTCACCTGGATGCTCTGGGACTGTGCTAGGGGGTGGAGTCCATGGTGGGAAGGACACTGGCCGAGGCATCAGGGGTCATGATGTCTTCATGAACACACCGTGCGCCCCTCCACGCCCTAGTGGGAGCATGGCTGTCCCCTTTGCACTCCCCCACAGTCCCTGTTGCTAGTCCCAGCCGCTGCACCCCTCCTGGCGGTCTCACTGCAGCACGCTGGTCCCGCACGCCTGTCCAAGAATCCTTGGAGCTGACAGGAAATTTTCCCGCAGGGTTGGGTCTTCCTGGGGAATAAGTCCCTCTTTGTAATTTGGTTTTTCCCTTGTTTAGAAACCAAGAAATCCAGGGCTCCAGGGCAGAAATGGGGAATCTGTGCCTGTGTCAGAGCTGTGGAAGTTTCCCTGGAAGGCCCAGGGGGATGGGAGGCTGCGCTATAGGTCCCTGCCAGTGGGCCCTGAGCGACAGGGACAGCAGAACGGGAACCTGGACGATGGCAGGTGCTGGGTCCGGTCTCCAAGCCCAGTGCTGCGAGAGCCATCCTCTCCTTTGACGGGCGCCCAGCTGGAGCAGCAGGAGCCGTGTCTGGGTGGGAAAAGACAGGACAGGTTCAGGAGGGAGTGCTCCCTGAGGTCAGGCCTGTGGGACTGTGGGTCACCAAAGCCTGAGAAGTATCCCATCGTTCCTCTCGCCCAGCGACTGCACCTCCTCTGCCAGGCGGGAGCAGAAGCGTGAGCAGTACCGCCAGGTGCGCGAGCACGTGCGCAACGACGACGGGCGGCTGCAGGCCTGCGGCTGGAGCCTGCCGGCCAAGTACAAGCAGGTGCTGCGGGGCACAGTGCGCATGCACAGGGCGGGTGGAGGCACAGGTGGAGGCACAGGGCCGGTCCACAGCCTCGGCCCTGATTCTGGAGGGATGGGTAGCCGAGCTGCTGCAGACGCACCTGAGCCGCCCCAGGCCTCGCACCCACAGCGCCTCTCTGCCTCTGATTGCAGCTGAGTCCTAACGGGGGCCAGGAGGACACACGGATGAAGAACGTGCCTGTCCCGGTGTACTGCCGCCCTCTGGTAGAGAAGGATCCCACCATGAAGGTGAGCCCTGCTCTGACGGCAGTGGGCGGAGCAGGGAGATGTTCCCACCCGGAAGCTGAATCCCGGCAGGTCTGGACGCTGGGGAAGACCCTGTCCCGTGTCTGCAGCAGCCCTGACGTCCCTGTTCTCTCAGCTGTGGTGTGCTGCGGGGGTCAACTTGAGCGGCTGGAAACCCAGTGAGGACCACACTGGGAATGGAGTCAAGCTGGAGCCAGGCTGTGACCCTCTGACCTGCAACCGGGAAGTGGAAGGAGAAGCCAAGAGCAACCACACATCGCCAGAGAAGAAAAAGGTAATAGTGGCAGGGGGGGAAGGGCTGCCTCTGCTTGTACTGTCTGCTGCCATCTGCATGCTCAGGCTGTGCCCAGCACCAGGATCTGGATGGGAGTGACATAAACAGGGGAGCTAGGGACAGTGCCCCACGACTGGACTTACCTGAGGTTCCCTTCCCCTCCCGAGGGCAGGCCCAGGGCTAAGCTGCCACCCAGCACCTAGGAGCCAGGAGCTGTGGTGGTGGGAAGATCAGAGGGCTCAAGACTCGGCAGGCAGTAGGGCTGAAGGGGTCAGGCTCCCCCAGGGCCGTCTCCTTGCAAGAAACAAACTTCACTGTCTGCAGAGGAGCGGTGGGGGAGGCTAAGGAAAGGGGTGGCAGAAAACCCTTCACACTTGGAGTCCAAGGCTTCCTTTTGTGTTCCGGCATGATTTGGGAGCCAGTGGCTCAATGGCTCAGAGCTCACGGTCTTCTGTGGAAGTGAGACCACACGTGCCTGCAATCTAGATACAAAGTGCAGTTCTGATGCTCACCCTCGGCTAAGGGATAGGACAGCCGTATCCCCTAAGGCCGTGGTCAGCAAACTGCGGCTCTTTGGCCCCTTGAGTGTGGCTCTTCCTAAGCCTTAGGAGTACCCTAATTAAGTTAATAACAAAGTACCTACCTATATAGTTTAAGTTTAAAAAATTTGGCTCTCAAAAGGAATTTCAATCGTTGTACTGTTGATATTTGGCTCTGTTGACTAATGAGTTTGCCCACCACTGACCTAAGGCCATGGTCAGGGCTAGATCTTAAAGATTCCAGGAGGCCCCATGACCCCAGGTGGCTGCTGGAGCCACCCACCCTTGGCCACCATCCTGGTCGCCTGTACTCTGACAGGCAAAGGAGCTCCATGAGACAGACGCCACCTCAAGCCGGGTGTGGATCCTCACCAGCACCCTGACCACCAGCAAGGTGGTGATCATCGATGCCAACCAGCCAGGCACCGTGGTGGACCAGTTCACCGTCTGCAATGCCCATGTCCTGTGCATCTCCAGCATCCCCGGTGAGTGCCGCCCCACAAGAGCCAGTGCCCAGGAGGGAGGGGTTGGGCTGCTCAGAGGACAAGGAGGATGTTATGTAAGGAGACTGGCAGGGAAGCACCTGCCTCTGTGACACCCCATGGACACGGGAGCTGGTGGGGGAGTGTGCGAGGAGGGCCACGCTGGTGGCCTCATCCTGCTTAGTCTCAAGGACACAGGAGATGCGATGTGCTGCTCACTGATTAGAAGTAGATGGGATGGCACCAGCAGGCGACCTCCATTCCCTCCCTCACACCCCAATGGGACATGAGCTCTGGGTGTGGTCTTGCAGCGGCCAGCGACAGTGACTACCCTCCCGGGGAGATCTTCCTAGACAGCGACGTGAACCCTGAGGACTCTGGTGCGGACGGGGTGCTGGCCGGCATCACCCTCGTGGGCTGCGCCACACGCTGCAATGTGCCGCGGAGCAACTGCTCCTCCCGAGGGGACACCCCAGTGCTGGACAAGGGCCAGGGTGAGTCCTGGCCTGAGCCCAGAGCAGCCTTCTCTCTGCCCCCTTGTTCCTCTCCCTGCCCAGCCAAGCTTACCTCTCCCTTCCACAGGGGAGGTGGCTACTGCCGCCAATGAGAAGGTCAACCCTTCACAGTCCACGGAAGAGGCCACAGAGGCCACAGAAGTCCCTGACTCTGGGCCCAGTGAGGCAGAGGCAGCTGCAGTGCGACCCGGGCCCCTCACGGAACACGTCTTCACCGACCTGGCCCCTGCCCCACCCCCCAGTGCCCAGCCTGGCAGGTGGGCCTCTGAAATGGGGCAGGCAGAGACAGAGGGGAGGGAAGGCTGACAGGTGGGCAGGGATCGGCCTCCATGGGCCATCCTAGAGCCACCGTCCTTCCTGCAGTGAAAATGGGCCAGAGGCTACCTCGAGTGATGTGCAGCCCGAGCCCGAGCCCAGTGGAGACCCCAAGGGGGCCAGCAGCAGTGCCTCGCCCACCATGTGGCTGGGAGCCCAGAATGGCTGGTACGTGGGGCTCTGGGGGCAGGAGTGGGGCAGGGCCCCCTGGGCAAGCCCCTGCCTACCTCAGCCTTCTCCTGCAGGCTGTACGTGCACTCGGCCGTATCCAACTGGAAGAAGTGCCTGCACTCCATCAAGCTGAAGGACTCCGTGCTGAGCTTGGTGTATGTGATTCTTAGCCGAGAGCCAGGCATCAGGAGGGGGCCTTGGACGGCCCAGCCTGAGCCTGGCTCACCACCTTCCCATTCCAGGCACGTGAAAGGACGAGTGCTGGTGGCTCTGGCAGATGGGACTCTGGCCATCTTCCACCGCGGCGAAGGTGAGGCCTGGCAGCAGTGGGCAGGTGGGCGGCATCTGATGGGCCTGGCAGGGTGTGAACCGCACTCACTGTGAGCAGCTGTGGACCTGGCCAGGCCTGAGCAGGTGTGGTGGGCTCTGCAGATGGCCAGTGGGACCTGAGCAACTACCATCTGATGGACCTGGGCCACCCACACCACTCCATCCGCTGCATGGCTGTTGTGTACGACCGTGTCTGGTGCGGCTACAAGAACAAGGTGCACGTCATTCAGCCCAAGACGATGCAGATAGAGGCAAGTGCTGGTGGTACGGGCTTTAGGGAGGGAAAGGGGCGTTTGCTGTCAGCATTGCTCCTGACACACCTTCTGATAGATGTTGGGGGCTCCATGGGGTCAGAGGAACTGCATTCAGGGAAGTGACTCATTTGTCCAAGGTCACAGGCAGGGAGAGGTGGCTGGACTGTGAATGCTGGTCTGTCTGGAGCTCACCTGCTGCTTCGTTCTGAAACAAGTCAAATTGATGCCCGTGCAGGGTGGGGCGGTTGGCTGGGGCCCTCCTAGGAGCCTAGACCCATGGAGCAAATCAGGTTCTAGAGCCAAGGTTACTGTGAGCTGGGTAGACATTGGGTGAAGCCCTGGCTGTAGCAGGTTCAGCTCCCCATCCCCTGCCCCCATTGACGGGCTGCTGTGACCCTCAGAAGTCCTTTGATGCCCACCCGCGGCGGGAGAGCCAAGTGCGGCAACTGGCATGGATCGGTGACGGGGTATGGGTGTCCATCCGCTTGGACTCCACACTGCGGCTGTATCACGCCCACACCCACCAGCACCTGCAGGACGTGGACATCGAGCCCTACGTCAGCAAGATGCTGGGTAAGGCTGTTGGACCCGCCTAGCAGGGCAGAGGGCCCTGAGGCAGTGCTGACCCCACCTACTCTTCCCCCTACCCCCCAGGCACCGGCAAGCTGGGCTTCTCTTTCGTGCGCATCACGGCCCTGCTTATTGCGGGCAACCGCCTCTGGGTGGGCACCGGCAACGGAGTCGTCATCTCCATCCCGCTGACCGAGAGTGAGTGACCCAGACACCTGCAGAGGTGGTGATGGCAGCCGCTAAAGGGCACGTGGTAGGGTCCCGGGGCGGGTGTGCTCTGCCAGGCCACTCAGGAGGACATGGCTGCGCTGGCTACAGCCGTCTTATCCTGCCCCTCCTGTGACTGCTTCTCTCCTCTCCCCTCCATGCTTTGCCCCTCACCTCCCCCAGCTGTGGTTCTGCACCGAGGCCAGCTTCTGGGGCTCCGAGGTAAGTCCACAGGCCTGCCTCCTGCTCTCAGAAAGCCCCCCACCCAAGATGCCCTGCGAGCCCCACAGCGTGCTCCTACCCTTTGCCCTCGCCTGCTTGGAAATTTCCCAGTCGATGGGTTCAGCCCCTCCAGGCTCCTCTCTATCAACAGCCAACAAGACATCCCCCACATCTGGGGAGGGGGCCCGCCCAGGAGGCGTCATCCACGTGTACGGCGACGACAGCACCGACAAGTCGGCTAGCAGCTTCATCCCCTACTGCTCCATGGCCCAGGCTCAGCTCTGCTTCCATGGGCACCGCGACGCTGTCAAGTTCTTTGTCTCAGTGCCAGGTGAGTGGCGGGGCCCCTCCCTGCAGGGTGGCACCCGTGGCCTCCCTTCAGGAGCCTGCCTGTTGGCTCTGGCTGTCCTCCTAAGGTCCCTGTATCCCACGACAGGGAACGTGTTGGCCACTCTCAATGGCAGCGTACTGGACAGCCCGTCTGAGGGCCCCGGGCCTGCCGCCCCTGCCTCAGAGGCCGAGGGCCAGAAGCTGAAGAATGTGCTGGTGCTGAGCGGAGGGGAGGGCTACATTGACTTCCGCATTGGTGAGTGGGAGCTGCCTTCAGGCCCCAGGGACTCCTGGGCAGGGGCTGCCCCTCACAGCCATCTGCTCTCTCTCCAGGCGATGGGGAGGATGATGAGACGGAGGAGAGTGCAGGGGACATGAGCCAGGTGAAGCCCATGCTGTCCAAGGCTGAGCGCAGCCACATCATCGTGTGGCAGGTGTCCTACTCCCCCGAGTGAGGCATGGCCTCTATTGCCCCCTACCTGGCACCATCATGTACATATGCCCACCCTGCCCCATGGGGCAGCCCACCAGCCCCTCTCTAACCTCTCAACCTGCAGCTTTCACCTTAGGTCCGGCCTGGGAGCTGACAGGGGCAGCAAGCAGCAAAGCGGATCTGGCTGGGAGGTGGGAGGGACAGAGCCTTTGGGGACACCCTTTTCCAAGCAGCTCCTGGCCAGCCCCTAGTCCAGAGTCCAGACCCAGGGCACTGGAGGGCCAGAACAAGGCAGAATTCCAGAGTGAACATTCCCCAGGGAGCTCCCAACTGCACCATGGGCTCCCCATCTCATCGGGAGAGGAAGCAGGGTCCTCACAGCCAAGGCCCACTTGCCTTTGCCTGCTGTCCATGAGGGTGGGGGGGTCTGACCTTAAGGGAGCCGGTCCAGCCACTAGCCTTCCCTGGGTTCCCCCATGCCCTGTCCCTGCCACCCCAGGAAATGGCATGAAAGCATGTATCCAGGCTCCCTGGGGCAGCTGTTTGAGAAGATAGATGCCCCCGTCGTGCTCATGTTCCCCGATTACCCTGTGTGGCAGGCTCTCACCAGCCCTCATCAACCCATGTGTCCTTTCCTGGGCAGAAGACCCACCTTATAGAAGCAGGCCCTGCAGTCCTCCTCCTGGAAGGCCCCAGGGTGGGGTTTCTCAGGCTGTCAGGGCAGACCCAAGCCTCAGGAAGGGGTGGGGGGGCACTAGGACACAGGCTCAGCCTCAGGGTGATGGAAGAAGGTATGCTCCAGGGCCTGCCTCCCAAGCAGTCTCCAAGGAGCCCAGCTCCCAAGACACGTTACTAAGTGCCTCGGGTTGGTGGTGTGGCCTTCTCCCTTAAGGGCAACTGACAGGCTGACAGCGGAGACCCTAAGGGCTCAGGACGGGCCACCTCCCTGGCTCTAGGAGCATGCACCCACCTGCTTTGAAGGGCACCGCCCTGGACTGCTGCCTCCCCACCTGCCCAGGCCCAGGCCTTACTCCTGCTCCGAAAAACACTGATCAGGGCAGCCCCAGGCCCTGCTGCCCACGCACCTCCCACCAGAGAAGCACAGATCTTGGGCAGCCATGCCATAGCCCAGCCAGTACCACTGCAGTCACATGCAGCTTAGGCTTCTCCCCACCGCCTGCCACTCTCCACTGTGATGTATGTCAAGTCCCTTGTCTCTTCCCACAGGGCCATGGGTGACCGGGGTTATCTGGGTGGATGCAGCTGGGGGAAGGGGCTGGGTGACGATTCTCCTCAGGCTTTGGCCCTGCAAGCAAACTCATGTATCTGCTCTGTGTAATAAATGTCTTATCATGGAACCTCCGTGTCCCTGAACCCAAACCAATGTGAGCACAAGGGTTTTCTTCAGTTTATTATAAAAAGAAACGCTGGACCAAGCTGAGCACCAGGCCACCGCTCTGGTGCATTTCCAGGCGCGCTACACAGTGCCGCCAATGTTTGGGGCAGACCCACCTGTCCTTTTGGAGGTCCGAAGGGTGCTGTCCACCCTGTCACAGAGGGTGTGCTGAGCCCCACCGCAGGGGCCTGGAGGGTGCGAAGTCACCCACACCTATTGCAGCCCGGGGTGCTCAGCTCGGGTCCCCACCGTTACTCGTACAGCCAGCGCTCGGCGCTGTCCTCCCAGCAGAGCAGCTCGTCGGGGCTGAACCAGAGCGCGATCTCTCGGCGGGCACTCTCCACGGAGTCGCTGCCGTGAATCACATTCCTGTGCGGGAAAGGCGCCCTGAGTGCGGGCAGGGGCCCCGCGAA